ATTTCAAATAAAGGAAAAATAATCTAAAAAATGACAATATAGCTACTTGGAAAATAGTCTGTGCATAACATGATTAAATTGGTAAAAAAATGTGTCTGACATGATTAAGAAGAGGTTATATCCCTTTATTTTCCATGGTACTTCTGGTAGCTTTTGTCTCATCACCATCTTTCTTCCTCTCCCTAAGAGATTTTCTACATATAGGAGATTTTGACCTTTTTCTTTTTTTATAGGAGTGTTCCTCTAACGATTATTTTTGTTCAACTTTGGAGTTTATATTACTCTTGATTTCACTGTCTTGTTTGTCTTGCCTTGACATAACACTTTCACCTTCATTACTTTCAAGCTCACTATGCATTTCTTCATTGCTATCGTGTTGCAATCTAACATGGCTTGCATGCACTAATATCCCATTTCCATTTGTTTTTATTGTCATAGTTTTCTGTTCACTTTGCATTATGAATCATGCTTCTAGTAGATTAGATTGATTATTCTTTTTATATCATAGTTTTTCATTGATTGCATAAGACATGGTCAATGGGGCTCTAATTTGTTTACTTCTGAGGTTTTTCAATCTTCCAGTATGTGGTATTGTCCTATAAGTTAGAAACAATTCTTCCTAGATTGTTCCTATCTTTTCTTTCATTATCTAGTTACATGTCCAATAAAACATTATTGATTCAGGTTTTTAATAACCCTTTTCATTTTTTTTTTCAATGAAAAGATGTCCATACTTATTTTCTCTTCATTTTGTTGGACTGTCTCTACTTTTTTCTTTTTGTATTTATTCATATCTTTAAAATGATTCATTTTGAAATACTTTTCATATTTTTTATATGCCTGACATTTTGGGGTTTTTTCTTTGTTGATATCCACAATAAGTATAAGTTTCTTTTTCGCATATGTGTCCATTTCCTATACCAGGTCCATGATTTTTGTTCTATTAAATTTTCCAATTAGTTCTTGTTGTTGAACAAATTCAACACATTGTTCTAGTGACAACTTTCCCAGTTTTAAATACATTAGAGTCATTTGTCGACACTCCTCATTTTGAAGATCATTTACCGATTTCATTTGGATCAAATCCTCTTTGATTGACTCATTTCCCAATACCCATTTCTCAAATTCACAATATTTAGCAGCCTGTTTTAAATGAAGAACATATTTGATAAATGGTTCATTCACTTTTTGAGAAATATTCATAAACTTAGCTCTCTCTGCATACATTAGTTTTTTCTTGGGTGTCATGTTTTTCACTATTAGTTGACATATCATCAAACGTCATTTCCTCCAAATGTCTTGGGTGTGCAATTGCTGATAATTTTGTAATGGCCTCACAACCAGCAATTACCAACAAGAGACCAGTTATTTGGTTTTCTCCTCCGACTGATTTTAAATCCTTTAACTTTTTTCTTCTAGCTTTAGCTGCAAATATTCTAAGCCACGCAAGTGCATGTTCATAATTATCAAGTGATAATTGTTCGTTTGGTTCATTAGATCTTGGTGATGCCATTGTTGTGTAGTGTTACTTACTGGTGAGAGGTAGTATGCACTCAATTGCCTCATGGGTAATAGCCACAGCTATTTATAGTCTTTGTGAATTCATATGTAAATGAGTCACCTCAGGTAATAAATGTGACATGATCAATTTGGTAAAAGATTTAAGAAGACACTTTGAAGAATATATATAGAATTAATTTCCTTTAATTCTATTTAGATAATTGTATATAATTGCATTCTAATTCTACTGTGGAGTGGTGATCAAATTTTTCATTGCTAAAAATCGTTATCCTTTTCTTTTAAGATTGAAGATCTCTATACAAAAGCTAGTGTCTGTTGCTTTGTAATGTACAAAACGTCATATTATGATTTTGTTCATATCCAGGAATGTAGACAAGATAGTACTTTTATATTTTGCATAATAAACTCCAAAATATGTCCATATAAAATAGCTGCTATGCTATACTGGTATCTACACATGTATTTTACAAGTACAGAAATGTACTGAATATAGTGACCATTGAATGCAAAATAACTTTAGACTTATCCAAAAGCAAGAATCCAAACTCAATAGAGTTATTCTCATTTGATTAGTTCAACAACTTTGGCAAGAATGTCATAATATCCACTGTGTGTTTGTATGTACACATGTAAATATTTTGCTAGCAACTTTTTAGTGATGCAAACAATATTATTATTGTGTTAAATTTTTTAGTAGCAGTGTATTTTGGCTCAGACTTTCTGAGGCTGACCTTTAAGGTCAGATGGTAGACAAAATAGGGATGTTGATTTTGATTGGCTGATCTGAATGTGGGAATATTAGAGTTTTCAGGGAGTTAAGTTTTACACGTCAAAGAATGCAAACGTGTTAATTTCATGTATGGAAACTGCTTCCCAGTGGGGTGGGACAGCAACCCTACTGGCTAGTTAGAAGATGTACATGTCAACATGTTTAATAAAATAGATAAGTTTAAAATCCCTTTTGTTAAAGTTCTCATTTTACCTCTGAACAAATCAACTAGTGATCACCCAGCTGAGAGAAGAAAGAGAGGAAGAAAACTTTATTATTATTGACACAAGACCGTCAGCCAAAAGACCTCTCCAGAATGAGGGGACTATTCAACAATTGTACTATTACTTTTTGTTTCATTTATTTCATGTATAAAGATTATTATTTGATTTGTTGTCTATATTCTTTGACTTATCTGGTATGTTTAGTATTAACCACAAATGTATAATTTAAATTAAATTAAAAATTTATCCCCCGTCCTCAAATAAAAATATATTTCTATATTCTACCGTTAATTAAAGTATTTTTTAAAACAGTTTGATCTTTCATGCACACTTACATAATGTGCTTTGTAAATGTATCAGGTTAGAATGAATGTGCCAGCAGATTTTATTGTGAATTTGACAAATGAAACTGATGGCGAGTATTGTATTTTGTTGATGTTATAAAGATTATCATTTCATTTCCAACCTCTGTTTTGGTTATTCCTCATTCAGTAACCTTTTCTAGGTTACAACATCAGTGTTGTTTGATTATTGTCTCATATTTCATAATGGATGATTCCTTGAATATCCCACCATACATTCAACATGATCTTCTTTGGATAATGTTCTCCTCTCAGTAGCTAAGCAGGTCCATTTTCCACTGATTGATCCATTGATGATGTCACTTAACATTATGATAAAGGATTTCTTTCTCATCACCAGTAACAAAGCTTGACTAAAAAGGCACTTGAAGTTGTCATGTAAGCAATGACTCGCAACAATTGACACATTGTTGGTGATTCTCTGGAGACAGGTTGTGTAGGATCCATTTTCCAACCACTGAAACTTTTCTAATCTTTTTCAACTCATGTACAACTGTCATATGACTAACATTAAATTTCTCACTGATTTCCCTAGCTGCTGTAGTGGCAGGATTTGCAGTAACAGCAGCTTCCAAATCTTTGAGTCCTTTTGGACGACCCTCCCTTAGCTTGTCCTCTAGATTAAAATTCCAAGTTTTGAAGCAGGAAACCTGCTATTTCTTTCACTCAATGCACCAACCGCATAAATGCGCTGGATAGATTTTGCTGCTGCACTTGCATTGACTCCTTTATAAAATTCATAGAGTAAAACATTTCTAATGTGTTCTTTAGTTGGGACATACATAAGGGCAAGTTCCAAACTATATTATGAATAATATTCTTATAATCTGAAAGAAAAAAAAAAGATATAAATTACTCATAGTAGAATTAGTAAGCAACATCAAGAGGCAATATTTTAATAAATTTTGTTCAACATTTTTACTTTAAAAAGTAAACAGAACTTTCATTCTAACTTGATACAAAATGTTTTTTATGGTTAATTTTAAAATATATTTCTTGAAAAATTAATCTTTTGAGAAAATTAGTTGACTAAATGCTTCCTATAACTACCTTACCCACCATTTTGTGTCATTTATTTTTTATGAATTTGAATTGAGATCAAATGGCCTAAAGTCACATGACAAGGTATGTAACACACACATACACACAAACACAATAAAAGGTTTGGTTTATACAATTTTTTGTGAGGAAACTGCATTTAAATATATAAAAAGTTTACATGTGTTTCACACTTGTTGAATGATTAGGTAAAAGTTATATGAAGAAATATGCTACCTTGTTGAAATGATTAAAATCTAGGCTACACAAGACTTTTTCTCCTGTCAAATCTATCATTGTGTAATGACTTGTTTCTCTTGTTTTACACTTTGCCTTGATAATACAGACATTTGCATGACCTTGCTTGATCATTTTCTTTTTCTGTCAGATAAAATCATACCATGAATAATTCATTCTTAAAAAAAACAAAAAAACAAAAAAAAAAAAAACATCAATATGTAGTATCAATCTGGGTAACCTACAGAGAATTCCAAACTGAACCCTTTATTCAATCTACTGGGGTAGACTGTTCTCATTCCACTGCTCATGTTTAGGGATATCATCTAGCTCCCATTTTTTTCCTTAGCACTGTTCAGTTATAGCTCAACTGTTTCCACCGAGTGCAAATAGACATTGCTCAACTTCACAATCACTATGTTCAGTTCAGAATTCTCTGTAGGTTACCCAGATTGATATGCACCTGAGGAAAGTTTGAGAGCTCAATGGCCAAAATGTTGTGATAACAACAAAGATGAAGACAATAGTCTGAATATAAATAATGTAAATAATGATAACTCCTCATCCCAAGAATTCAGACAGAAATTATGTAGTTGTATGTTTTTTCTTCTTTTTTGTGATTTTATTATAATAATTATTATTTTGTATATACATTGAATGCATTATGTGTGTGATGGAGTAGGGGGGGAATACCCACCTAATAACCTATTCCATTGACTGTTTACTATTTGTGATTTAATAATATTTGTAATATTTGTAATTTAATTAATTAATTTAATTTTAGTCTTTACTAAAAATCAAAATGAAATATAGTTTGGGAAATAAAGAACTTTCCATCTTTAAAGGCCTTATGGCCACAATGAGTTTGAAACACTGATTCCCATACGATCGCCAAAGTTAAGCAACATAGAGCCTGGTCAGTACCTAAATGGGTGATCATTTGGGAATACCAGGTGCTATAAACTTAGATGTGTGGGTGGGGTAATGGATAATGGCATGGAACTGTTGAGAGCCAAGTTCCAATTCCCATTGTGTTGGTTATATTCACTTACATGCAAATACCTTTGGCAAAGGTAGGAATCCATCTCTTTCCTCCTCAGCTACAGGTTAATTAGTTAGACTTGTATCACTAAATCCTTATCTCAAAAACATATTTTCTGGCTTTAAATAAACTGCAAAATGTTGATAAATCATAAAAAAACAAATCAGTCAAGTCAAACTATCTCTAAAACAAAGATCTGAATCATTGGTTTAAATGAATTTACTCAATCAGCAAAAAATATTATAATATTATCAATATTAAAAAGTATGTGGAAAAATGTATTAATATAGATATTTATATAATTTACAAAACATAAAAGATATAAAAATAAAGATGAAATGCTAAAAATATGGTAATTACATGTTTTGCTATTCAGACCAGCATGCTCATTTTGGTTGTTATACTCACAACATTTCAGCTGTTTGACTCTCCAGCCTTCTTCAGGTGTCTGCTATCATACTTGGTAATCTTTTTGGAATTTTCAGACAAATACTTTATTCAATCCGCAGGAGGTAGTGTGTTCTCATTTCACTTCTCATGCTCAAGGGAGATAATTCACATGAATTAATCATCCCCAGTTTTATTCACCTTCATGTTGCTTGTAAGGGTAAAAGCCTAAGATTTCACTTACAAATTGGAAATATCAACATTAAGTACAAATGGATAAAAATATGGAAAGCATTTTAGAAGAAGATGAAAAATGCAACCTCAAAATCTGAACATGCATTGGACGAGTGAAAGAGTGTTTCCAAAAGCTAAGCAAAAAAGAGTTCTCGATCACTATGTGATATTCATCGTCTTATATGGCAGTGAGTGTTGGACAATCACCATACAGATGAGGAGAAAACTGGAAGCAACAGAAATGTTGTTCTACTGAAGGATATTGAGAATTCCATGGACAGAGTGGATATGCAACAAGGAAGTCTTAAAGAAAATGGCAACAAAAAAAAACACTTTTGCTCAGAATCATGAGATAGGTGAAATTCCTTGGAGACATAATGAGGAAGGAGGCTTAGAAAACTTAACCCTCACAGGGCACATTGAGGGCAAAAGAGATAGAAGGTGGCAAGCCATCTACCTGATGAGCTTTTGTGAAGGGTGGAGGTGCATAGTCCTTAGCAAAAGTAGAAAAACTGCTAAGGGCCACAAGTTTTAGAGAGCCATGATCACCCATATCCTGAATGGATGCAGCACATAGAAGCAGATGTGCTATAGGAGATAGACATTTTTTTTCATCTACTGTGAGTTGAAGGTGTGTAGAAAATGTTATGTACAATTTATTTAGCTAATTACAAGTATATTATTAGTGTTTTTTTCTTTTTTTTTTTTAAATATTTTTCAGATGTCTCACCGACATGCAAATCTGCCGAAAACCGAGGTCAGCATAGAACTTGGCCAGTTCACCTCAGAGATTGATATTACAATTATTAACAGGATAAATAATGATTTACTCAAATCTGATCTTCTTCGTCCACCCGAACAGAATATCACTGGAGGGGTTCGATTTATGTCTCCAAGTACTTACACCAGTTTGGTAAGTAACATTTAACTTTCTGTTTTTAAGTGTTGGCTTATCGTCCTCTTTTATTCTTAATAATATTTACCTTAACCACATTTGTTTGGAAATTTTACAGGATATATTTTACATTCAGAAACATATATTATTATGTTTTACACACACGCACACACACACACACACTGGTGCTAGAAAAATTCTTGGCCTAACCAAAAAGGGATTAAAACAAAATTTGATAAATGTCTAAACATTTGGTCATATTTGGTTTGAGTTTATATATATATATATATATATATATATATATACGCATACACACACATGTGTATATGATGTGGTGATATATAATTTTATATATCAACAAACACAAACAGTATTTAGAAAAATATGACAACTTGGCAAAAAGTTTTCATGATGTGTTTCATCCATTAGGGTTTCATAAGACAGGGCTTTGTTGATGTTGCTATGTCTACACAAGCGCATGAAACGAGACGCTGGTATAATGTACATGTATATAATAATATATATGTCTGGAAGGTGCCTTGATTGCTAGTTCAGACACTGAAAATTTATGTCTAAACTCAGATGTCAGATCTATGATGAATTGGAAGTTAACTTCCGTATTGGATTCTTGTTGACTGTAAAATTTATTTAAAATCAACCTTAGATGTTAATTGAGGTTGCTCCCTAGCATGTTAGAAATTTATTCCCCCACCCTTCGCTCTTTCTGTGAGGGTAGTGCTGCTTTTAAACGATAGTATGATTGTTTATTCTCCAGTTGACCACCACTACCTGAAAAAGCACTTACAGTGTTGAAACATGATAGCATTTGTGTAGCGGTTTCTAACAAGTTTTTGTTATAATTGTTCATAAATATCATATATATATATATATATATATATATATATATATATATGACTTTAAAAAATCATCAATTCCTCAAAAGAAATACTTCAAAATTTTTAATCAGCATAGAGTATATACTTTACAACCAGATACTCTTCCTACTACCAAACATTAGGCTGAATATATAATGTAAATAATGTCCTCTCATTTAAACAGTGATCTTAGTTGTTGAGGAAAGAGTGTTGCTAGCTTTGTAAATTTTTAATGTACTTATTGTGTGGCTGAAATTTACAAAAGGCTGTTTATTTTGTTATTGTTTATTTTTTCTTTCAGCTTTCACATTAGCAATATTTTTAGCTAATATTCAGAATCATATCACTGTCTTTAATTAGTGCTACAAAAAGAATAATTACATAAAGTATTAATTACTTTTAATTATAACTTTATATCCATGCTGTTGATATGTTTTTTCTTATTTTTTTATGAATGAACAGTGTCTTTGGTCATTGCTTTGGTCTTTCCAGTCAATCATTTGTCTGCCTTTTCCTTTTCAATGTACATAATTAAAATATCTAGATAAGTTTTTGCATCTTTTAGTATGAGTTGGGATCTAATATGAATCGGAATCTAACAGAAGGATTTTTTTTTTAAGCATTTCACCTCAAGCAAGGCAGGATGCCACTAACATGCAAGGGGTTACAGAGAGTTGGAGTGAGAGTAAAGAGGCGTGATAGAGGAAAGGATGAAGAGAAGGACAGGGAATAGATCAAGGCATCTGGAGATGTGGATTGACCTTACATTTGAATAGTTGGAGATTATAGCTATCAGGGAAACAATTAATAGGAAGGGAATTCCACAGACGGGAGGTGCGAGACATGAAGCTATTGGAGTAGAATTGACGGCTACATTTAACTGTTTTGACAGTGAAAGGGTTGGACCAAGATGCCAGCCTAGTAGCATGTTTAAATTCATGCAGTCTGAGAACTAGCAAAAGTAGCTTGTTGAAGCAGTTACCATGAAAGTATTTGTAGAAAAGACAGAGGGAGACGATGACATGTCTGTGAGAGAGCGACTGTAGATGAGATGCCAGACCAGGGCCAATCGCGTTGCATATCTATCTCTGGATTTTGTTGAGGACCTTAAGACGAACAGCAGGGGCACCAGACCATACATGGCAGCAGTATTCCATGCAAGGGTGAATGGTTGCTTTATAGAATTGAAGGATGGACTCAGGCGAGAAAATCTTTCTAGCATGACACAGGGAACCAACTTTCCTTGCGGTGGATGAAGCTATTGATTCAATGTATTTGTTCCATCTTAGGTCAGCGGACAATGTGAGACCAAGCAGTCACAAAGAGGTGCTCTCATGGATTTGAGTATTAGACTTACTAATGGGAGGCAGAGATGGTTCCCTGTAGTGAGTAATAGAGAGCAGTTTTGTTTTTGATGCATTGAAGTTAGCCAGCCAATTCCTGTCCCAGTCTACAACTGATTGGAGGTCCTTTTCGAGACTAACAGCCAGGTTAGTTTTGTCAGCAATACCAGATTTGTGATAAAGAAAATGGAATCCATTAAATTCTTGAAACTTTGGATGGATGTGTTGTCTCTCCTTGAATTTGGATGCCACAAATTATACCAATATTGGCTTAAAAAGTTGATTGCACGTGAAATGATTAACCAATGAAAATCGGACAACACAAAAGTAAAAATAGCAGAATCTCTTTTTTCTTTTTCTCCATATCTCATTATATGATGAAACTTTAATAAAAGTGAAACATGTTAGATTGATGAACGTTTCCTATTTGTTCTTTATTTTATTACCTTTTTGTATGCAAAATGGAACAACATTTGTGACAGTTACTGAAAAAGCCAGAATAGTCAGATGTGGTGTTTATGACCTTCTAAACCAGCAAGATTTATGTGGGTGTCTGCAATTAACCAATCAGAATTGTTTACAGAGAATTTTATTATTAGCTGTAGGACATGGGCATTCCTGCTGTCAATTGTCTGCATGTCTATCTGTGTGTGTTTATTTTGTTTGTTATATTTGAATTCGTGGTTAGCTTCAACAGGGATGGGAAAATTGTAATTTGAGATTACATAGGTCATTATACTCTAGACTCTAGACTGGACCTGTGTGTTTTTGTTTTCAGTTTTATGTAGGTGTATTTTAAGTTAAGGACATTTAAATCTTTTTCTTTTCCAGTTTTTTTTCTGTACTACACATTATTTTGTATACTTAGTGATTTACAAAAGTATAAACCACTTCATTTTAGAATAGTCTTAAGTTATATTACTGATTTTGTCATTCACTCTAAACCTAACAAAAATGATTCAGAATAATAATTGATAAAATTGTGGGGGGGGGGGGCAATAAAAACCACTATTTTTTAATTTTTTTGCAACATGCACGAACAATCATTTTTCAAAATGCAACAAGTATATTTTTTTAGTTACCTTATATAGGTAGATAAATGTGTTTGACGTCACAATTTCTTTACTATGTATAGTAAGGTAAACAAATGTCATACACGGAATATTATGTGACTCCTCCCCATCCCCGCTCCCAGAGATGAACTTATCCTGTATCTATCTGAAGTTACAATCTCACAATACACACACACACACACACACACACACACACACACACACACACACACACACACATATTGATTTCTAAACCTGTTCATCTTCATGATGTCTGGGGTTTTGTCATGTTAGTAGTGGTAAAGTTACCTTTAGCTAAAATAACCAAGTTGTCCTCCTTGTATTTGTGTTGACAGTGACAAGATATGAGGGTAAATAAAAAAAAGTAATTTCCATACAACACCTTTATTTCTATGGATGAAGAACAAATTCATGTCATTTTTTGACATAGACCCACTGGGAGTTAGTGAGAAATTTCACTATTTATTCTGGAAATTATAAATAACTGTACCTTAAAAGTGTGTGAGAAAGTGAACCCCCACCCACAGTAAGTAGAAAATTAAGCTAGAAAACAGTATTACAACAATTTCTCTTTGGCCATATATCTAGCTTTGCTCCTGTCATTTCAAGAAAATTTATTGTTTATAATATCTTTAGATTCAGTAATATTTAAAACTACTTAGGCATCTATTATAGTTTCAGGAAAACGGGAACTATACTTATAATATTACAAAAGAAATTTAGAAACAAAGAAAATAGTATTGAACTGTTATGTAATATCAGACCTCCTCTATCGAGGTGAATGCTGGACGATCTCCACATAAATGAAGAAGAGACTTGAAGCAACAGAAATGTGGTTCTACAGAAAGATGCTAAGAATACTATGGACAGAACATGTGAGCAAAGACAAAATTTTAGAGAAAATGGAAACAAAAAAGACATGTATAACATCAGAAAGGGAGTTGAAATTTTTAGAGCATATAATGAGGAGAGAGGGCTTTAAAAATTTGATACTCACATGATAGGTTGAAGGCAAGCGGAACAGGAAAACAATACCTAACATACCTAGTGTGCTTGAGAAATGGATTGCAGAACAGAGTTTAGGAGAGATAACAAAAAGTCAAAATTTCTTAAGAGCTACAAATGGCAGAAAATTGTGGAGAGCCATGTTTGCCAATGTCTTAAAAGGAACATGGCACATAGAAGAAGAAGAGAAGATATCTTACAAAACTCTGTGGATGTAGATTTTATGCTTTTATTAAAAGTAACCAGATGTGTTAGAGTGATAAATATGTGCACTTGGTGGGGAGAGCTATCACCTATGTTCTTAAACACAACAGTCTTTCTGAGGTTAAAGTGTATTTACTCTGACCCTCCACATTTTGTGAAACAGAATTTCACAACAAAACTTAACCCTTTACTGACCCAATTTGCTAATATGAAAATATGGGGAAGGCATGGTGGTACAATGGTTAGTGACTTGTACTGAAGAATCAGAGAGCCAAGTTCAAATTCCAGTGAAGTTCATTACATTCACTTATGTGCCACAAAATTATACCAATGTATATACCATGTGAAATGTATGAATCCATTTCATCTTCCTGCAGCTATGGGTAAAATTTTTTGACTAAGCACTTTGGTTGAAATCTAATAGAGATTTTGCATAAGGCAACTCTATTGCAGTATGCAATCTGATTGTACAATACTTTTTATGGTTTTGAATTTAGAATTGACCTTCTAGACTGGTTGCCAACTGTGGTCAGATTGTCCAATCTGCCCTGCTATTTAACTCATATCTGGGGGGAAGAAGAGATGGATTTCCCAAGGGTATCTGCATGTGAGTGAATATTATCAACTTGACTGGAATTTGAATTCAGTTTTCCGATTTGTTATTCTGAACTGCTATCCATTACACCACTGCACACTTTAAATGTAGCGACCACCTTCAGATAATCAATGATACCTCTGTAACATTATATATAATCCGAAAGAACAAGTCTTATGTTGCAGGATATAAAAAAATTGGTATCAAAATTCATTAAAAATACTTTGTGAAAAACATCATTGTTAGAATTCATTAAAACAGTTTGGGCAAAAAACAATTTACATTTCAGCAAAATATTGTGATATGATAAAAAAACAAAAAACAAAATTAAACAATAACCAATCCTTTTTTTGGTTTCTGTGAATAAATGAGTTTGCCTAGTTGCTTTCTGACATAGTCATTTGTTTGTATTTTTATAGACAGCTCAGGCTCTTTATGAAGGATCTACAACAGAAGAGAAGAAAGTTTCCCTGAAAGTCTCCAGCTTTTCCTGTACACTTTGTGTGCGGTGAGTAATGATTGATAGCTTCTGATATAACAGTGATACAGGATAGAAACAAAAGGATCATTTCTTTTTTTTTTATGTCAGCATTCATTTCTCTGCTTTAATCCTTGATCTATGATAGCAGCTATTTTGTTTTACTCTGTTTAATTTGAGAAAATGCAGAATTTTGAATTATGCAAATAGATAAATATAAATAAAAATGAAAAGTTGTGGTGCAATTTGTGATAATGTTTCCTTTATCATTATAGGGATATTTAAAAGATATTTCTCAGATTCTTAATTTACCTAAATTTAGAGTTTTTTGTTGTTTTGTGTAGCCTTCACCTGAAGCGTTATAAATTTCTTTTTCATATGAGGCCAAAATAATTAAAAGAACGTTTGATTAATCCAAAACAAAGATTTCCAATGACAATGATGATAAATCTTATTGTTTAGAACTAATTGCTACAAGTTACCATGACAGAAAAGATATCAGTAAAGTCAAAATGTATTGCAATTTGTTTTATTATACAAGAAATAAGGGAGACAATCAAACATATACATCAAGATATAGCTATACATCACCGGTTCACATTCCTACTTCTCAGTCACTGCCCCTTTCAATAGCAGTGTTCCACCTACAAATGAGGGCATGTATCCCAGCTTTGTAAAACTCAGCTGGCTTCTGATGTAGCCAATTCCTTACACCAGTTTTCACTTCTTCATCACCACCTAAGTTAGCACCTTAGATTTTTATCTCTTTGGCTCAATGAAAAAGGCACTGGGAGGTAAATGTTACATAATTACTATATTTAGTGGGATTCACTATTTTTTTTTGTAAGAATAAAAGATCATAAAAACTCTGACTATACTTGAGTATAAGACGGTAAGTGGATTCTCTATGGTCATATTTAGTAATTAATTGGACATTACAAAGAAAGATAATGTAATGATTATTTATTGTAATATAATTACAGTTTTGGCACAAGGGTTAGTAGGATGAGGCAGGGCAACACTGGCTATCCTAAACAAGATAATGTAATGTGTCCAGTATTAATTACTGTACTCTTATTTATTTTTTTACAATCATTACTTGTTTATTACATCTGCATTTTCACTTGTTTATTCACATTAAAGTGATTTAAGAAGTACTGAATCACTTATCATTACATTGTTATATAGATACCTAAAATACAATTTAAGAAAATAAACACTTTTATTATTTACCAAATAATTGCTCCAACATTGACAACCTTTGTTGTAATATATAATTTCTCTTCTAAAAAAATTTCAGATTCCCTATCCCAGATTTACGAAGTGAACCTCAAGTGGATCGATTGCCATGGTGGAAGAGGAACCTCCAGAAAGAATCTCTTGTTCTCAAGCTTAATGAAGTATTATTTCAAACAGTTCTTGGTTCCAATGAAAGCTGTAAACAGTGCGAGTTGAAATGTCATTCATTCAGTGGTAATAGCAGTTAACTTTTTATTTTTTTGAATTTTGCTATTTTGTTTCTTCATCTTTTTCTTTTTGTTTCTTTTTTAGAATGTATTTTTAACCAATCTTATCTTTGGTTATCAAATAAGATTTTTGGAAATTCTAAACATGGTTAGTTCCCATGGTCCAGGGTGTGCATTTCACCCTTTCTGAATCTATGTATTTGTTTCCACTTTCCACAAATTAATTTGAAAGCTAAAGAATAGCTTGATTAAAAAGTAAAAATGTTGTGGTGAAGAATAACAAGAAGATTAAGGAACTAGATTTAAAAACTGTGTGGAATAATAGAAATATTTCATGTCAATTTATAACTTTATATAAGATATAAACCTTTAAGATAAACCTTTCCAAAGCCGATACTCAGGATGAACCTTTCCAAAGTGGAGACTCAGGACGAACATTTCCAAAGCAGAGACTCGGGACGAACGTTTCCAAAGCAGGGACTCGGGACGAACGTTTCCAAAGCAGGGACTCGGGACGAACGTTTCCAAAGCAGGGACTCGGGACGAACGTTTCCAAAGCAGGGACTCGAACGTTTCCAAAGCAGGGACTCGGGACGAACGTTTCCAAAGCAGGGACTCGGGACGAACCTTTCCAAAGCAGGGACTCGGGACGAACCTTTCCAAAGCAGGGACTATGGTTTGGATTTAAAATGAAAGCACTGATGGTGCATACCATGAATCTATCAGAAAAATTAAGGTTGTGAAATTAGTAAATGCTAAACACTTTAAATATCTTTTTGTATGAGTCAGTTACAGCAAATTTAGTATAGGAGATAAGGAAATTGAACATAGAATAGACTGTACTAGTAGTAGTTTCACCCAACACCACAAGTTGCTACAAAACGAAGACATTAACTTAAAAAAGTTAAGTGATCTTAAATAGCCTTTTATATGGATGTCATGCATAACACCAAACCCCTTCAGAAATTTCTAAACCATTGACTGTATTCAAACGCTTGATTGTTACTTAAAAATGGCTTCCAGCAAGTGAAGCACATCGGTCTCATCAAGGAACAACCTTCTTCAAATCTCATGGACTGGCATTACAGAATCATAAAGAACTGTACCAAATAACAGAATTCATATCACTTGATGACATGAATCTATCAGAAAAAAGAGAAAATAATAAGCCTGAGTGTGTCATCCTTCTTTGAACCTTGTGGACTGGTAGAATAAAACAAAGAACTGTACCAAATAACAGAAACCACTTGAGGACTTTCAAATATCAACAACTTGGATATCACATGGAAGTCAAAGAAAAATAATGAAGCCTGTGTGTCTTGGCAAAGATCATCCTTCTTGAACCTTGTTGGTGCTACAGAATCACAAACAAAGAACTGTACCAAATAACAGAAACCACATCAGTTGAGGATTCTTCAACAGCAGCAACAACTAAAATGGATATCACATGGAAGTCAAAGAGAAAATAATGAAGCCTGTGTGTCTTGGCAAAGATCATCCTTCTTTGAACCTGTGGACTGGTGCTACAGAATCATGTACCAAATAACAGAAATCACATCACTTGAGGACTTTCAACAGCAGCAATAAAATGGATATCACATGTAAGTCAAAGAGAAAATAATGAAGCCTGAGTGTTCTTGGCAAAGATCATCCTTCTTTGAACCTTGTGGACTGGTGCTACAGAATCACAAACAAAGAACTGTAAAATAACAGAAACCACATCACTTGAGGAAACAGCAGCAACAACTAAAATGGATATCACATGTAAGTCAAAGAGAAAATAATGAAGTAGTAGTTTCAAAGATCATCCTTCTTTGAACCTTGTGGACTGGTGCTACAGAATCAGAAACAAAGAACTGTACCAAAAAGTTAAGAAATCACATCACCTTTTATATGGATGTCAACAGCAGCAACAACTAAAATGGATATCACCTTAAGTCAAAGAAAAATTTGAGTGTCTTTTAAACATCCTTCTTGAACCTTGACTGTATTCAAAGAACTGTACCAAATAACAGAAACCACATGTTGAGGACTTTCAACAGCAGCAAAAAAAATGGATTCCAGCAAAGAGAAAAATAATGAAGCCTGTGTGTCTTGGCAAAGATCATCCTTCTTGAACCTTGTGGACTGGTGCTCATCACAAACAAAGAACTGAACAAAACCACATTCTTCAAATCAGCAACATGGATATCACATGGCAAAGAGAAAATAATGAAGCCTGTGTGTCTTGGCAAAGATCATCCTTCTTTGAACCTTGTGGACTGGTGCTACAGAATCACAAACAAAGAACTGTACCAAATAACAGAAACCACATCAGTTGAGGACTTTCAACAGCAGCAACAACTAAAATGGATATCACATGGAAGTCAAAGAGAAAATAATGAAGCCTGTGTGTCTTGGCAAAGATCATCCTTCTTTGAACCTTGTGGACTGGTGCTACAGAATCACAAACAAAGAACTGTACCAAATAACAGAAACCACATCACTTGAGGACTTTCAACAGCAGCAACAACTAAAATGGATATCACATGTAAATCAAAGAGAAAATAATGAAGCCTGAGTGTCTTTGCAAAGATCATCCTTCTTTGAACCTTGTGGACTGGTGCTACAGAATCACAAACAAAGAACTGTACCAAATAACAGAAACCACATCACTTGAGGACTTTCAACAGCAGCAACAACTAAAATGGATATCACATGTAAGTCAAAGAGAAAATAATGAAGCCTGAGTGTCTTTGAAAGATCATCCTTCTTTGAACCTTGTGGACTGGTGCTAATTTGTACCAAATAACAGAAATCACATCACTTGAGGACTTTCAACAGCAGCAACAACTAAAATGGATATCACATGTAACTCAAAATATTGACATTCCCCACCACTTTAAAATAAAAGGTTACGAAGACTCAATTAATAGTTTTCTTGTTTGTTCAAATTCTGTTAAGTTCTCAAGCTTTTTGTAATAAAAATTTGTTTCCATTTCACTAATGAATGACACTTGTGTCTATTTGACAGGTGCTCTACATGAATCTCCCGACTCTTTACCTGTCAATTTCATCAATGTCGAACCTGATGATGATGAATCCACTCACAGTTATGGATTCAATTGGCCAAGGTAAAACGGATGATCATTTTAATTTCATTATTCTCCATATCGACACTGTTTTACAGTTATCTTTGTAAAGTCTCCAGTTTATCACAGCATTTATGAAATTAACCCCAATGTTCATTTTTGTGTGATTTGAAGATTCATACATGTGTAGTAGATTGCTGCTGGGCTCAAATAAGGCGACAAACACTTATATATAAAAAATATATAAATATCTTTTTTGTCTGAGTTGCAATGAATGAGTAGAGTGAGGTAGAATCAAACAGGTTAGGATTGTGCACACCGGAATTGATGGAGGCAAATCTTCGTTAAACCTCCAGCCAGCGTATGGCCAGACCAAGAATCGGACAGGTTAAATAACATTTTGACACCTATGCATTTGGCTACGTCTTCTTCCAGTATGTCACCTATGCAACTTTGTGTGGCCACGCCTCTTCTAGCCTGCATCCACATAAGCACGCATTTTCTTCTGTTCGCGACACCTGTGAGTCCTGTTTATTTTAGCCACCGGATACATCTCCTGTTTATGCTATCACCAGTTCTGATTTCCACTCACACACTGAGGCAGCGGAAATAAAGCCAAAAGGTCTTTCCTCAACCGATACATGTCGGCTGAAAAAGTCTTTGAGTGAAACATCTTCATTTCATAGAGGTTGGGCTTATGCAAACACATGGAACTTCTTTATGTGATGTGTCCTCTCAGGGCATTGGAAATCATAGCTCTCCCCAGCTTCCTGTCTATTGTAGCCCTTAATAAATTTTGTCTTTCTGCTATTCCTCCTAAACCTTGTTCCGTCATCCATTTACTCAAGCTCAGTAAGTATGTTATGTGTTGTCTTCCTCTGTCTTGCTTTCAATCTGTCCTGTGAATATCAGATTTTCCAAGCTCTCTTTCCTCATTATGTACTCCAGAAACCTCAACTCTCTCTTCCCAATGTTAAGTATAAGTTTCTTTTTGTTTACATTTTCTGTAAAACTTTGTAAATGTTCACATAATTTGTCCTTGGTATACCTGGAATCTTTCTATAGAACCACATTTCTGTTGATTCATCTTTGAGGAGATTGTCTAGCACTCACTGCCATACAGAGGGGCAGATATCATGTAAAAATTTAGTATTCTTTTCCTTGTTTCTAGCAAAGTTTTTTATTTTTTAATTCTCTGCTTAGCTTTTGGAATGTATCTTTGGTTAATGGTCCTAAAAAATGGTAGTTGAACAATAAAAACAGGGTTTATTAATGACACAGTTACAAAAGCAATGGACTCATTCATGTTGATTTTCGTGGGTTTTATGACGAGTAGATAGGTTTTCCTATCGCCCTGTCCACATTCCTTCCCAGTCTTTTGAACAGGAGTAGAGGTTTATCTCTTGTTTTAAGATTGGGTTTCTGGTCCCTTCTCCTAAAGTCTTCTCTCATTCTTTTTCACTTCCAGCATCCTCTTGCTTCTGAGTGGCATATCATCTTGCTTGATTTTAAAAAAAATGGCTACTGGCTTGGAAAGAGAAATAGAAGCGCTGAATTTAAATTCCAGTCAAGATTGTTACAATCATTTACCCATTACCAAGATATGAATCAATCATTTCTGAACACCCTCCAGCTATGGGTTAAATAGTAGGACATATCTCGAAAAATCATTGTTATCCCCCAAAAATTGCTAATGCAATATTCACTTGCCAAAAAAGAAAAAAATTATTCTTTGAATACAAGAAATATGCTTTGGGTTTAAATAACTTGCAAAGGGTTGATAAGCTGTAAAAAATCAAAATAAACAATCTAACTGTCCAGTTGAGTTTAAAAACTATGACTATTCAGGGTTTTTCAGCCATCATATGTTCTATGGATATGAGTAGGATTGGTCAAATACCATCCATGAATCCCCCAATTAAAGCTAAAAAGATAACATGGTCACATCATTTCTGGTACTAGTGGCAGCTATTAAACTATTCCCCCAATTAATTCCTATATACATATAATTCACATCTCTATACAACTTCTGTGGGTTGATTTCAGCCCAGATATTGTTGTAGTTTCTTTTAAGCTATTGTTCATATATTAGAAATGATTTAATAGTTTTCTTTTCTGTTTCATTATAGAATGGTAATCACGCACACTCAGGATTTGAACTCGGTTCTAGAGGAAGACAGTGCAGAGTCTGATGAGAGTACCAATTTCGACTCTTTGAATGGAGCATGTCAATTTAGAAAAGCAGAGTCATCTCCCTTTTCCACCAAGAAGTTTATGTATCATAAAGAAGAAGTGTCTGATAAAAGTGAAGTGAAAAATGTCAGTGAAGAGGTAAGCAAGTTCCTCTCATAATCTTTCCTTGAAGTTAAACATTTTGATACTGATAAATTAAATCGTTTTTTGTTTTTTTTCACTTATTTTTTTAAAATAACCAAAACCATTTTACTTGTGTCATTGTCAGCATGTGTTACCAGGAGACAAGGAAGAATTACGTGAGTTTCAGGAGAAAACAGCTGCTAATTCTTGTCTGCTGATTGAGATTACTGTTCCAAAAGGTGATATCTTTTTCCAGAGTAAAGATTTTTATGAACTTATATACAACAGGTGAGAAATGTTTTTTTTAAATTTTCCTTTCTATGGTTAAAGCATTTAAAAAAATCTGAACTTCACTGACTGGTATAACGATACAATAAATGTATGTCATAAACAGCTATTAGAACTGCTAGGTAACTTAGACATATTTGTGACATTATTAGAATAATCCAGAACTTATACTGGTAGCAAACTGTCTGTATGCAGATAGAAAATTAATTCAGTAAATATACAAAAAGAGAAAGCAGTGTAAGACAAGGATGTGTCTTCTCACCGGATTTATTCATCCTATAAAGTGAGGCGATTCAGAGAGAATTAGAAGTCCTACAAGGATTCATTAGTAGCAACCTCAATCATAACAACATAAGATATGCAGATGATACTGTATTGATAGCAGACATGGAAAGGAAATTACAGGGATTCCTACAGAAGTGAAGGAAAGCAAAAAGAAAGTATCTATCTATATTTCTGAGATGAGGTATTATGTACATTATTTACATTATTCGGACTATTGTCTTCATCTTTGTCGCCATATTTATTACAACATTTCAGCCGTTGTATGCTCCGGCCTTCTTCAGGTGGTTGGAATGTCGAACTGAAGTGAAATAAAGGGTTCAGTTCGAAATTACAACCACCTGAAGAAGGCCGGAGTGTACAAGGGCCGAAACGTAATAAATATGGCAACAAACATGAGGACAATAGTCCGAATAATGTAAATAATGAGCAAGAAGAAAGGACTAAAGATTAATTGCAAGAAAACACAATGCATAATTGTCAGCAAAAGGAGCAACCCAACATGCAAATTACAAATTGGAGATATCAAAATCAAGCAATACAACAATTTAAATATCTTGAAAGTGCTTTAACAGGACGGAAAGTGTGACACTGAAATCTGAAGGCACATTGTGATAACTAAGATGCCTTCCAAAAGCTAAGCAAAGTATTAAGAAACAAAAATTTCTGTTAGAATCAAAGAAAAGAATACTGAACTGTTATGTAATATCAATCTTCCTGCTGAATCAGGTGGAGAAGAAACTTGGGGTGATAGAAATGTGGTTCTACAGAAGGATGCTGAAAATACCATGGACTGAACATTGTAAGCAATGACAATGTTTTAGAGAAAATGGAAACAAAAATGATACTTACACCTTACATCAGAAAGAGAAAGTTGACATTTCTAGGGCTCAATGAGGAAAGAGGGCATAGAAAACTTGACACTCACAGGACATATTGAAGGCAAGAGTGAGAGAAGAAAAAGTGCTAACCTGAATGAGCGTGTGTAAATGGATAGTAGAATAAGATTTTGGAGAGATAACAAAAAGAAAATTTACTAAGGACTCCAAAAGACAGGAAATTGTGGAGAGCCATGATCACCAAGAATATCAAGTACAGTGTTATTATTATGCCTGCTTTCTGTGAGATAAAAGATAAAAATATTTGTTCTGAATATTAATTGAGTAAGATTAGAACTGATATGTCATCTAATATATAAAGCTCATAGTTTTTGTTTGTGTGTATCCTTACTCAACACTGAAAATTTATTAGCTATTTAAAGTTGGTTATCCCTCTGTGTGTGTTTGTGTGTGTGTTGTGCAAATATTGTCTAAAACTGTAAGATCATATAACTAGTTTCATCATATGTTTTCATTTAGGTAACTCAATTCACTTAACCAATCCTTTTATCGACATGTGTCCTAGATAATAATTTTGTTATTTTGGAGCTTTAAATTAAATCTTGTCTGCCTCTTGAACAGAACTAGAGTATATGAGTATCTGTTGTGTAATTTGGTGGTCAGATTTTTGCGGGGTTTTAGTCTTAAGGCTTCAGTGGAATGGGAACAATCTACCTTTGGGGCTTTGTTCAAAATTTCTGAAAGGTTACCAACTACAACAAACACCTGATGAGGACATCAAGGTAAGTAAATCAGTTTATTACTACTAATATTATTATTATTATTATTATTTGTTCTTTGATTTCTGTTGCATACTCATTTCCTTCTGAGTCCCAAACAGAGACCTAAGGCTGGAAATGGATGCATGACATTTTCAATGGACAGTTTTGCAAAAAAATAAAATAAAATAAAACTACCTAGGGGCATACTCATTTTACATTGATAAAGACCTTCACAAGGTGTGAACTACACTTGAGAGGAGGAGGATGACGACAACAATAACAACAATAATAACTACTACTACTACTACTACTGTTTTTTTCTTTGCCCCTTTTGCTTTCCCCCCAAAAAATACTTAATAAAAAAATATGATGGTGTCATCCTTGGTCTTAGGGAATAATAATATAAAAAAAAAATCCTCCACCTCCTCAAAAATCAATTTGAATTATTATCAGGGTATTTTTTCTCTAAAACCAGTTCCACTGTTTAAGAAAAGTATGTTTGTGTACACATGCATATTTTAGGTGGGGAGGGGGCATTTCCCAACATAGTGTAATATTCTTTTATACTGTGTGTGTGTGGGGGGGGGCAGTTCAATATGGTGTAATATTCTTTGATTTGGGAATTTTCTTCATAAATTTATTTTTGTACTATTTGTTTTTGTTTTTTAATTAGACTATGCAATGATTTATTATTGTGGGAACCAACTGCCCCATCACCATTGTACAGTCAGGAACAAAGTTTACTCCTACCTCAAACATTAGAGACACAATACAGAGTACAGTACATCCCTCCAGATTTTATGTCAGAAGCAAGAAATGGTAAGTAATACATAGTCATGTTTTCTGTTAGGGGCTTAACATTTCCATCTTATGAAAAAGCTTCCTTAAAAAAAAAATTTTATGATATTTATATATATTTGAAGATTATAGGAAACAATTATGAACAAATATTCATATTTGTATATTATGTTTATATATGTGGATCATATAAGCAAATTCATAGATATTTGAAGATTATAGAAACAAATATTCATATCTGTAGATTATAGAAAATGTTTATATATGTGAGAATCATATAAGCAAATTCATACATATTTGAAGAGTATAAAAAATTCATATTTGTATATTATAGAAACAAATATTAAGTAATTACTGCCTCCCATCTTGAAAAAAATAAATAAATAAATAAAAATGAAAGACCAAAAACCCAACTCTTAATCTTTCATAGTGATTTTTGTTTTAGTTTTTTGTTATGATGATTTTGTTTTTAAGCATTCCTGCAAACTAAAAAAGCTGTTTCTCTTCATTCATTTGTTTTATATTAAAAGTTTAATTTTTCTGTAAACTTTTGTTTTTGTAACTATTTGCTATTTCTTCTATTTTCATTATTAAAAAAATTGTTTTAAATAGTTATAAAAAACATCTTAGAGAATATTAAGATTTAAGCTTTTTAGAGATTTTAAAGATTTTTCTTTTCTAATTTAGTCTATAATAATAGAATAACCTAAGCTAGTCATTAAAAGATAAAACCATTTTTTATAGATTAGTCTCTTCCTATAATTTCTAATTAACTTTGGTACTTTCTCCAGTATGCAAATTTGTAACAGACAAAGAATGACCAGGAATGAATTGTTTTAATGAATTGAATTTTTTAATGTTTTGTTTAGTCTTTGTTAAAATTGGTTGAATTATAATATCTATTAAATTTCTTGACATATCAAGTGGTTAGGATCTTTCATAATTTTGGATATTTGAAAAGTTTTTGATGCATTCAATGTATTTTTTAGATATCTTTTGTGAAAATAATAAAAATGACACAAAACAAAAACTTTAAAATGGCTACATTTAAAAATTAATTCTTGTTTGTCCTTTTATTTTCTCAAGATGTTTTAAATTCCAAATTTGCTCTGATTTAGATCCACTTTTCTTTTGCATTTTAAATCAGCAACATTGAATCGAAATACTTTAAGTATTGGATTGCCTAGAAGAAAAATAGCATTGTAAATAAAATGATTTATATGATAACACATGCAACTAAAGCCTCTCTACTCGACCTGTGCTTTACCTCCATCCCCGAATCCTGCAGCGCCTCGCAACTCTGCCCTTTTGGTAACTCTGACCATGCAGTAGTATCGGTTAACATCTCCTTTAACTCCACCCCTATAAAGAACCTCCTACCACTGGAACTTCGTTCTATTATCAACGAGCTGACTGGGACGCTGCCCGTGATTTCCTCCGCTGATGTCCCCTGGGATGGAGTCTTTAAGCTCCCCGTCCAAGAATGTGCTTCTGAGGTCTCTTCCTGGGTTAAAGCTGGAATTGACGCTTTCATCCCATCAAAGAAATATAGGGTCAAGTCGCCCTGCCCCTGGTTCTCGGCTGCTTGCTCAGCCGCCATCGCCCATAGGAACCACTACTTCCACCTATACCATAGCGACATGTCTGACTGCAATAGACGTCTCTTTGTCTCTGCCTGTAACGAATGTAAGCGTGTCCTAAATGATGCTAAGTCACTATTTGCAGCTCGAATGAAGGAACATATTGCCTCTCGCAAATTTGGCTCCAAAGATTATTGGCGTCTCTGCAAGAGTGTATTGAACAATTGCAAACCCTCTATACCTCCTTTATTCAACCAGTTCAAAGTCTTGACCTCCTCTACCGACAAGGCTGAATACTTTGCTCGGAAATTTTCATCCAACTCGACGCTCGACTCTTCCGGTGTACCCATACCCGACTTCCCTCTTAGAACTGAGGCCATATTGAGTGGGTTAAACATAACCCCAACTTTGGTACTGGGCGTTATCTCCAATTTAGATCCCAACAAGGCGAGTGGTGGAGATGGGATACCAGCGATTGTCTTAAAGAAATGCACACCTGAACTGGCCGCCCGCCTGAGCCGTGGCACTAGATATCTCCAAAGCATTTGATAGGGTTTGGCACGTCGGCCTTCTCCGCAAGATCCAGGGATATGGCATTATGGGTTGATTATATAACGTAATACAATCATTCCTGTCAAACCGTGAATTGAAGGTCGTTCACAACGGATTCTCCTCCAGTTCCTATCCCACGAACGCAGGTGTTCCTCAAGGCTCCATCCTAGGCCCAACTCTATTCCTTATCTACATAAATGACCTTTCTGACGCTGTAACTTCTCAAATCGGCATCAACGTGGATGACACCACAATTTATTCCTGCCTCAAAAACAAATTTAGCCTCGCTTCATGTCTCGCACCACTTGCCTGTGGAACTCTCTTCCCTTCTCCTGTTTCCCTGTGAGCTATAATCTCCAGCTATTCAAGTGTAATGTCAATCGACATCTCCAGTTGCCTTAATCTATCTACTACCCTCATCCTTTCTTCTATCACTCCTATCTGATCTTGCTATTTTCTGTAACCCCTTGCGTCCTAGTGGCTTCCCGCCTTGCTTGGGGTGAAATGCTTAAAAAAAAAAAAAACTAGTATAATGGTTAGTGGCTCAGGAGGAGAAATTGGCATGCCAAGTTCAAATTACAATCACGTTTCTTACATTCATATTTTTTTACAAATACCCATAGGAAAAATATGAATTCCTCTCTTTTTCTATCTATGAGTTAAATAGCAGAGTAGACTGGACCCTCTAGCTGTAGTCAGTAACCCAGTCCAAGAGAAGGACGATTCTGAGTTCCAAACCATATGTAGCCTAGGCAAAGCACATACTATACAGTCATGGAAAAAATTATGGAGATCACAATTTACTGCGGAGCAGTGTTTTAGATTCTTTGATTTCATTTGTGGTTGATGAGCTAGGTAGGCAAAATCCTGATAATTTGATATTCTCTTGAATTTCAGTGGACTCTGACAGTGATTCAGATGAGAGTCAAGGAATGCACAGTTTTTCCGCATTTGATCAACGCAGTTTCCATAAGAAGAAATCACAGGAACGTAAATTACAAAGCAAATTATCCTTTACATTGAACCTCAACAAAGGAAACATGCATATGGCTTCTAAGGTATGGATTAAACTGTCTAATCTTATTAGGCAGTTACAGAGAATATATATTTTTATTGATGGAATTAGTGTTAAGGGAGCATCCACGATATTGCTGAGTTCTGCTTAGGATGGTGTAATGGATAGTGGCTTAGAATGAGAAATCAGAGAGCAGATTTTGTTATATTCACTGTTTGGGAAATTTAACTAGTGGAAAATTGTAATAAAATTGCATGATGATTTCTAATTTTTTTTACTACTCAGTAATTTAAAATATTTTAAGCTTTCTAATATTTTATTGACTTTTCAGTACATTGGCTTTATAGTCTTACTTACAAAAATGCTTGTTGGGGAAAAGTTAGAAAATAAACTGATAATTTTAAAATTTACTATAGTTACTGCTATTAATTTCTGAGAATGTTGTGTATCAACGTCTGTATTTATAAAAATCAATATGATTATATACACATAAATTCAAAATTTTTTTCATTATTTACATTGTTCGAGCTGTTGTCCTCATTTTTATTGTCATGTTAATGACACATGGCCCAGTGGATAAAAATGTTGGTTGGATCTGGTGACTTGACCCAAAGAGTTGTGAGTTCAGTTCAATACCTGGGTACAACAGTTGTGAACAAAAAGTTGAGTTAAAAGGAGATAACTGAGACATCAGGAAGAGACATGGCACGTGGAACTAGAACAATCTACCCCAGAGGATGAAATAAAGGGTTCACTTTAAAATTCCAATCACTTGAAGAAGGCTAGAATGCATGATGACCGAAATGTCACGAACATGACAATAAAAATGAGGACAACAGTTCAAACAATGTGAATAATGTAAATCCTTACAATACCTCATTTCAGAAATATAGACAAAATTTTTTCTTTATATATATATATATATATATATATATATATATATATATATATATATATATTGATTGATTGATTAAATAACAGACATTATATCTGCAAATTTTTAATAAAATCCGTTCATATTCATGGATATCCTTCCATGTATTGATGTTAAAAAGATGAGAGAAATGTGCTATAGCTGTTTAAATTTCTTTTATTTTCATTTCCCAAGTACTTTCGATTTTTTTCCAAGATCATCTTCAGGGGTGCACAGTACAAAACTATATGTCGTTGATTAGTATAAGTATTTATTATTTATATATTTTTTAATATTGCTTCCAGTATCTGTAATCTAAATCTATTATTTTCATGGTGTAGGATAGTTGTGTTGTCGATTAGCAATTCATGGATTCTAATGAAAAAATAAAATTAATCATATATTATAAAAAATACAATACAACCAATTTAATTATCCACAATAACTCCTCCCCACTGATTGATGTATTACGTAAAACCAACATTATATATCAATTTAAATGTCCCTTGGGAGAATGTATCTCCAACAAAAAACCAAATATATATGTTGGGTATAGGACAAATACACAAACAAGAGGCTTACACTCCATATGTCTGACCATTCGTCCATCACCAGACATTTAAAACAACATTCCTGTCCACATTCACAATAAAAAAAATTACTAATCGACAATGCAACTATCCTACACCATGAAAATAACAGATTTAGATGCAATGTTGATTCCTATTTTCACACTTGTGTGTGTGTATATGTGGAAAGAACTCCTTTTACCGTGTACTCTTGGTCTTGTAGAATCCTGCTCCTGAGGAAGTAGTAGCTAATGAAAGGAATTCTGAAAATACTCGAAGTGAACTTGCCATATATGCTAAAGATGCCACTCTGTTTATTGTCATCAATCATAATGGGGATCCAGACTTACAATTTATTTGCTTCCAGTCCAACAAAATTGAACTTTTACATAATTGTAAGTATAACTAGAAACTTTTTCTTTCTTTTTAGAATTAACATTACTTTCACAGTATTTGCTATATATCAGATTAAAATGTTTCATGCAAATGATAAAAATGTTATTTTATTGTGCAAACTGAAACATTTATATTTTGTGTAATTTCGTATTGTTCATTTTTAAAAAAATTTAATAAATTTTGATTTGATAATTTTATTACATCATATTTATAACAACATTTTAATTTTGTAGAAGTTATATTTTTTTATATTTTAGAATGCTAAAAACCTATGAATGTAAACTTTTTCTTATCATAAAACAATTAATTGTAATCTGTAATTATTAATTTTGTATCATATTAAATTTTATTAACACATTAACTGCAAATGATTGGTATTTCCATCATAGCTGTTTTTGGCTTAACTGCCAATGACAATTGTTTTGCTGTTAATCAGTTAAAATATTAAGATATTAGGTCTTTTTTTTACAATATGTGTACATTTAAATAATAATAAAAATAATAATGAAACCATTTTCTTTATGGAGTGTTTTTATAATTGTTTTAGCCTGTGTAGAAACTCCAAAGTTATCTGATGAAAAACCATCTAGCCAAGCAGACCTGTTTTCAACAATCAAAAAATCTGAATTCACTTTTGACAAAAATGGACGTCCAGTTGGCTGCGGTCCAGATTCCCTTGATATGTTCTCTGTTGCTGTCAAAGTTAAATTTGACAGCAAAATTGACATGTTCAATTATCCTGCTATGAAGGTTTGCACATCTTTGTATCCCATACCTTTATTTAAAAAAAAACGAAACAAAAAAATAAACATTCATGTCTCAATTAAGAATCCTCGTAAATTTTTTTTTTTCACAAAATATACCAACATAATCAAGTGCAAGTCTTTGGTAAAAAGGGGGAGAATGTGTGGTGCCTTATATTGTGAATGACTTAGGTGAAATTTTATCAGTGTCATTAGTCTATGTCATGTAACAGGAAAATAAAGTATAAAATATCACTGATAGATTTTATCTGCAAAAAGCAGAAAATTACCTAGGCATCAGTTGTTTGTATTTGGTCCTAATATTTTTGCAAAGGGGTGTAGTGTGTGCGTGTGTGTGTGTGTGTGTGTGTGTGTGTGTGTGTGAGGAGGAGTAGATGATTAAGCAAATTAATTAATAAATCAATATACAAGAATATCATTTATGATATCTACATGCAAAGAGATAAATAGTCAAGATACTGTCATCAAAACTTGACCTTTTTAATTATTTCTAAAATTCATTTGCTGTTTGTTGCTTTAAGATATATTTTTTTGAGATATATTTTTGCTTCTAATAATTTTAAAAAGACGATTTCAAAATGCTAAACATTTAAATATGATGTGGGTGGTGAAAGGTTCTTGGTGTGGACCACTTCTTAAAATATAACCAAACATCAGAATTTATTTTGACTGGGGGGGACTAAGGACTTTCGAGAAAACACACACACACATACACACAAGTGCTGAAAGTTTCTTGGATTAGATAACTTCCCAAAATTTAACAAAAAGAAACAAACATATGTTTTTTTTTTTTTTTTGCATTAATATTTAAGCTTTCTTTTTAAAAGGTCAACAATAATTCTTTTGCTGCCACTTAAAAACAATTTCATGTAGATAGGTCCTTACTTTCCATACAAATAATTATTTTTATTTCATGGGTGACTTTTGCTGGATTTTGCAATTAATTTCAATTATTACCAAATTTTCTTAAAAAGTTCTTAAAATTGTTATCATACAAAAAAATTTGTTGCAAAAAAAAATCATGTAAAAAAATCACTGAAAACAATCGCAATAAGGAAAACTTGGGAATCCCAAATTTCAGGGTTAGGGGTCCAGATTAAGCCAGGAATATTTTTAATTTGCTCATGAAGTCAGCCTGACTCCAAAATGTTAAATGTCAGGCTATGGCCTCTAGGAGTAAAGTTGAAAAAGTGTGACACACTGATGTTCACATTTATTTATATAGATTATGTTGTTGATATAATATTGATTTATGATAAATTAATATTGTAGCTGGGTTCTTTTTCATATTGATCATATATAAGAGCAAGATATTGCTTATTATATCTGCTAATCATAAGGAGTAAGAAGTAACATATATAATAATATAGATAATAATAATATAATAATATAGACTCATCTCCAGAAGAGCATAGAAATGTTGCTTTATAAAAAAATGATAAGAGTAAAAAGTAAAAAAAAAAAATGGGTTGGCCTAAAGTTTAGTTTGCTTCAGGTAGTAAAATTAAGACACAGTCTTTTTAATATTAGCCTTACTGAACAGTTTATTTATTACACTGAACAGTTTATTTATTGTTTTGTTTCACTGTCTTTCGGCATCGTTCAAGCAACTTCATATTTCCATCCTTCTGGAATATTTTTTTTATTTCACATTAAAGAACTGCTCAAGGTGTCTTTTGTAATCTTCATATGAAGTGAAATTCTTTTAAGATAATTCTATAAAAACTAGAATAAATGGTCTTCTGAAGATTTTTTTTTAATCCTTTCATCCCAAACAAGGCAACAAAGATGCAAGGATTGAAGGAAACTGAGAAAATGTTACTGAAGAGAAAGGACATTAAAAAGAAGAGGATTCAAGAAGACAGAAGATAATGATTGATGTTTTGTTGAAATTCTTGAAGATTGTAGTTGACAAGAAAGCAAAAGAGAGAGTTCTGCAGACAGGGAGTGTAAGTGAAGAAACTATTAGAATAGAACTTACAGTTACATCTTACAATTTCAAGAGTAAAATGATGAGACCTAATTACCAATGTAGTACTGTGCTTAAATACATGGTTAAAGTACCAAAGAGGAAAGCTCAACAGAACAATTGACAGGAAAATATTTATAGAATACAATGGATAAATAAAAACTTCAAACCAAGCTGTGACAACTTTTGTCTGATTACCAAGGGTGAATCCTGATGGAATTTTACACTTTTCTTCTTCTCTAATTCCAAACCATTTTATCAATTACTGTCTTTTGTTTGTTTAATTAAGAATAGTATTTGTTCCGCTCAATCATTTGATTTTCAGAACAAGGAATTCTTTCCAATTTTATCAAATATAGAACATTGTTTTCTTTTTTTTTTAATAAAATTGGTTTAAACTGAATTCTCCTTATGCCATCAAATGACAAACATAAAATTAACTTTTTGGCCAGCCCTCTATATATTCAAAATGTATTTTTAAAAAATGTTTTGTATACTTTTCAAACTCAAACAAATTGTAGCTTAATCCTTTAAATGTTTCTTTAACAGGAATTCACCATTGCGGTTGGTGTGCAAGGAGCAACCCTAAATCACAGGATAACTCCAATGGAAAGCAGCTGGTTTTCTCAGGTTTTCTAACTTTAATCATATTACCCCCCCCAACCTTCAATATCTGTATTTTTTTTTGAATTGCTTTCAGATATCCTTTGTGCTGACCAAATTTATACTTTACTGAGAAAAACAATATGTGCAGGTGAGAGTGTCCTGATATCAGCATGGCAAATTGAATGCTGAATTCAAATCCTGTCTGAGACAATTTCTGTCTACTTTGAACTAATGCCATCTCTACCATCTTCCAAGTGTGGGTAGAATAGCAGGCTAGACTGGGATCTTGCTTGACAACCAGTCTTAGGGAACAAATCTCAAATTTAAACCCAAGAGCAAAATCCACTCTGCCCTCAGTTAAAAGAATAACAAAGGAGAGCTCATCAGGACAATTACTATGAAAATATTTATAGAAGAGGCACAGAAAAGCTATGTTACATCAGTGCGAGGGTGACTGAAGCTGACATGTCAGGTCAGAACCTTAATATTAAAGATTCGTCTTTTGGATATTATAAAAAATTATTAATATTGAAGATTCTTCTTTGGATATTATAAAAAATCTCTAAATGCAGGTTGCGATGGGTAAATTTTCACCATTTTATATTTTTCATTTTGCACATGCATGTTGTTTCATGATGCAATTCCCTCCACTAGAAATTTGGAAACAACATGCTGTACTGCTTGGTACTTGCACCAGAAGCTCCAATACAAACATTTCAGAGTGTTTGGGTGTCAATCTGAGGACAGCGCAGAGGATTCGGAAAGAGTTGGACGAGTCTAATGGTGATTATGAAGGTACAACAGCTCAGAAAACTCACTCTGATCATTCTGATAAAAAAGCAACTCCCAGATTTGTTGGTGAGGGCCTCAAACTCAACAGAGAGGCTTACATCAAATGACCTGAGGAGGTGCTGTCATGTGTCAAGATGGTGACTGCTGGAAGACCCTATGTTTGGCAACAGGACTTGTCACCATGCCACAAAAGCAGGAGAACTCAGTCATGGCAGTCAGACAATTTCTGCGAACACATCACCCCTTACATCCAGCCACCTAAATCCCAAGATTTGCAACCCCCTTGATTATTATGCGTGGGGCATAGTTCAGCAAGAGACCAACAAAACTCCTTGTAATACTAAAGATGTACTGAAGGCAAGGATTATGGCAGTGTTCACCCACTTAAACAAGGAGACTGTCCAGAAGTGATTCTGAAGGCCGTGTTCAAGATATTTTTGTGTAATTTTGGTAAATATATTTGTTAAAATGAGATTTCAGTATTATTTTTATTTTTGCATAAATTTGAACAACAATTTATGCATTGCACCCTCTATATAGCAGAAGCACCAAACCGGATGTGACAGCAATATTCATTGCTTAGATGAATGGTACATTTATAAAGGTATAAGATAATATGAAGTAAAGTGATTTTTATTTTATTTTCCCCAATGTCATGTCAATTCGTACATATAACTAAAAAGTGCTACAAAAAAGTATTGACAATTTTTGAGGCTAAAACTAAAATTTTCAAGTTTCAGTTATGAAATATTGAGATTGAGTTTATTTTTATTTATTACCTTTTTTTGAGATTTGTACAATGTTTATTTTTTATTTGGTGTTTCTGTTTCAGGCTCTTGACTTCATGAATGTAGTGGATTATCCAATAAAGGGTTATGTTCAACCCCAGATATTGACACAGCTTCATGTACACCTGTGGAACTGCACAGTAGATTACAGGTAAATACTTGGTTTTCTTCAGTTAAAAATATCACTTGGAGATTAACTTTAGGAGATCCTGTTTTTATAGGATATGCAATTTATGGCATGGAATATCCACTTGTGTGAGTTACACTAAAAGTTTACAAACTTCCAGATCCATTTCTATACTAAAATATCAAGAAAGACATATTTTTCTGGTAACCCAACATCTATATGAATTATGCAGCTGTGAATGTTATTTATGTGTGTTGAGAAAATGGTTTTGCATTATATACTGAATGAAAATGCTTTATCAAAAAAGCAAGAAATGGCTAACAAGTTGTCTACATTACTCTTACTATAAAAACTGTCTACATTGCTGTTGCCATAAAAACTGTCTACATTGCTGTTGCCATAAAAACTGTCTACATTGTTGTTGTTATAAAGAACTATATTACTCTTATGAAAAACTGTCTACAAAGTTTTTAAGAAAATGTCAACACAGAAATTATTACTAAAAAAATGTCTACCCAGGTTTAAAATAAATTTTTTTTAAATCTGTCTACATGTTTATTATTAACAAAACTGTCTACATGGTTTTTATCAAAAAGAAAATGTCAACACAGGAATTATTACTAAAAAAATGTCTAATCAGCTTCTTTTTTTTAAAAAATTGTCTACATAGTTATTATTTAAAAAAACTATTTACATTATCATTTTAAAAAATCTGTCATAAAAAAATCACAGAAGCAAAAATGAATCTTTAATTATTAATACTTATTTTATCAGCGCAAGAAAATTGTCATACTTAAACTTGTTGCTTGGAATGAAAACTTTCTTAATGACATATGGAAGGCTAAAGGAAAGTTCACAAACTCTCCTGGCAAACTCTATTTTGATGGATTGTTTGATGAGATTCCTCTTGGATGATTTCACAAATTTTCTCCACATTTTCTGTTGATTTGCTAAATGTTCATCATCTTGAATCAACACTTAACCATCCATTCCAACACAATGTTACTAAATCTTTTATAATAACTGATCACTAGCAGATAACACAAAGTTGATTGATAGACTGACTCAATAGGCTTAGGTACAATTGACTGTTATTTCCATGTTTATTTCTGTTGAATTGTCTCGACAGAGCATGTACAATCCAGGAATTTTCCACTACCACCTTCTATATACAATGGTATATCACAAAGGAGAATTAATTAAAGAAAAATGGTACCTGCATATCAGTAACATTAAACATTAATAGAAAATAACTGACAACATTAAACTGGGATTGTAAAAAAAGAGAGAATATTACTTCTGAAGCTGTCATTTTGAGGACACAATGCAAAATCATATTTTCTGATATTTTGTTTCATATCAAAGTATACTTTATGTTCTTAGTTATCTGATTTAGACTTTATTCTTTTTAACTGTATCCTTTTCAGACCTCTCCATCTACCTTTACATACACTGTTACACACCGAGTGGCTAAGTCTGTCAAGTAACATTTTTGCCGAATCAATGTCCACTATGCTGAGGTGAGTTGAGTTTCTTTTAAATTTATTTTTAAATCTTGGATAATTTTTTAATCATTTCACCCCAAGCAAGGCAATAAAGCTACTAAGACACAAGCAGTTACTGAGTGTTAGAGAATATGTGAAAAAATACTGTTACGGAAAGAGAACAATAAAAGAACAAGAATTAAGAAGACAGAAGATAACGATCGATATTGCATTTTAATTTTTGAAGATCAAATTTGACTGGGAAGCAAAAAGCTGAAAGAGAGTAACAGAAATGAGAAATGTGATAGAAAAAAACTCTCAGCATAGAACTTATGATTACATTTAGCCATTTCAACTGTACAATGATGAGAACTTATTGCCAATCTAGTATTGTGCTTAAATCTATAAAGTCTAGGTACCATAATGGAAAGTTTCTTAGAATAATTACCATGATTTCTGAACAAATATATTTGTTCAATTTCATTTCATTGCAAACAATTTATTCACACAAAATGGGTGAAAAACATTGCATTTTACTGTAAATAAATAAAACTTAAATAAAACTCACAATTTTGGTTGAATTCATTTTTTTATCACCATCCAATGTGGATCAGTGTTTTCAGTTTTTTTTTTAAAGTAAATTTTTACATCCTAAAATATATGTAAGATGGAATTTGGGAAAAGCAGTTGGATGTTTTTGTTAACGTTTCCCTCTCTATGAGCATTTTCAAAACAACTAAATAATATCTATGGAAAAAAAATCATTACCATGACAACTGTGCTACTTAAAATGTTATTGTCATTATTAAATGATAATACCCAGAAATAATAAGTTACAGTTTTATCTGGTAATTGAAACTATAATTCTGTTAATATTTATAAGAGCATTAGGATAGTGGTCTTAAAAACTACTGGTTTGTTTTTTATTGGGTGCTCCATACAAGTAGCCTTATGCCAGAACTAGCTTAGTCTAAGAAACATCATGTTACCTTATAAAAAATGACTTATGTACCTTATAAAAAAAAGTGTTATTATCATTATCTGCTGTTGTCTATGTCAGAGGATTTACCAATAAAATAGATTCTGAATATATTCTCTTTAGACCACTTCAAAAAGTGAACCCTAGCTGGTTACATTTTATGATAAACAGTAATTACTGATAAGTTATTGAAAGTATCCTGATGATATGTTGATGTCTCTTAATGATTATCATTAATTAGAATCTTTAAATTTCAATTACATATAAATTGAATGACTAAATTTGGCAAAATACAAATCTTATTGTTAGTTTTTCTTTTTCTCAGGTTTCAATTTGAGAGGACGGGACTTTTTATTTCTGAAAATGTTGAATTGAAATGTAATCTTAAAGGTAAAAAAACAAAACACATTTTTATTTCAATAGTTTTTATGATAATATTTTGATACATTTAGGCAAATCATTTCTACTTTTGGAGCTTCTATGTTTTTGCAAAATATTTTTAAATTTATTTTCTTTTTCAACATTGAACTGTTTTAAAGATTTAAAGAAACCAATTTTTGTTTTTTTTCAAAATGTTTTGAAATATTTTGTTGAAACAATATGATTGATATTATTTTTCAAAGAAAATCTTTGAACTGTTAAGAAATTAAATTTAAAGTCTATGCAAACTTTCTTTTTTGTCTAAATGGTGAGATACTGAAAAGTTCTCAGTCTGGCCAAGAAGGAATTCCCCCCTCCTCCCAAATTATAATGTTGGGTCATTTGGTCAGACTTTGGGAAATGAGTTGGGCTGAAAACTTTTCAGAAACCTTTCATATCATTTATTATAATTCATTAACATTTTGAATTAGCTGAAAAAAATTTTTTTTTTTTTTTCATGGATTATACACCTGATGAAGATGTATAATCCAAGAGAAAGAAAGAGACTGGATCAGCGTTAAGAACAATAAGAAGATATTAATTGTTTAAAAAAAATATGGAAATTTATATTTTGTCATTTAATCAGAATGTGTTATTTGTACAATTTGCATAAAATAGAATTCAGTTTCATGCCTTTAATCATTGACAGGATTTAAAGTTTAAACTGTTTAAATATCTCCTTGCTATAATATGAATGTAAAAAGCAATTTACGTTTTTATAAAATATAAACAATTTTTTGTACAAAAGAATAAGTTTGCATTTTAAATATCGAGAAAAAAAATTAACTTTTACATTTTTTTTATTTCCAGATTATGTCTGTGTAGCTGACTGGGACCGGTTTGAACTTTGTGTACGGACAAGTGGTGAAAAAGAGACGGTAAATTTATACACTTGCTAAGACAATATTTCATTGTTTACAGTAAATGAAGTAAAATGTAATAGCATTTGATTCTGAATAAATCTTTACTATCAAAAGAGAAGAATGAAAAATAAGATATCAATTATTAATATGTGTTAATAATTATTACGTTATATTATCATGTTTGGCTGCAATCATATACTTCCACTGAATCCTGTCTTTTGCTTTGCATATCTAGAGAACACGTCTAGTTTAATTCTGTCATCATTCTCTCCCATCAGGAGGTTTTTGGCATGCCTCTCTCTTCTTATTTGGAGTATAAAAATTGAATGATCTTGAGCAAAATTCCTTTAACACAGGCTAGTTCCATATGCAAATATTAGTTGGTAAAATAGATTAAATCCATGAGGGGTTGAGTGATAGCTAAATGAATAATAACAACAATAATCAACAAGGGGGTGCTGAAAAGTTTTTGACATGACTGACTTCTTAAAATCTGAGCAAATGACCAAACATCAGATTTCTTTGGGTGGGCTGAAAAGTCCATAAGCTGAATATGAAGGAATGATGCTAGTGTTGTGAAATCTTGCATATATTCATTTTAACTCTTCTTATTAATAACTGCATTGTTTATTTCCAGGTAAACTGACATCTAACTGTTCAAAAAAGACTGTTCATCCTGTTGGTCAAAAAGTCATCAACAGCAGATATGACATCATCACTGTGATAATGATTCCAAGCCAAGTGTTTTTGTATGTTGTGAAACAGATGATAGTCAAATCAGGAGAATCAACTAGTTCAAAGCCAAAGTCATGCACAACAGCCATTGAAACCAAGGAATTATGTGCTAGAGCATTCTTCTGATGAAACAAGACTCCTTTTGTCAGTTTTCTTGGGTGTTTGGCATTGATAACCTTTTGTAACTGCTTTAGCAAGTTAGTATAGTGTAGCCCTTTTAAAGATAATCAATAAACATAACACATTTTGCATTAAAAAAAAAACTGAAGCCTTCACCTTCCCCACAGTTGAAATGACCTTGGCCTTCTTTAGAGCAGCTGAAGAGGAGTGTTTCCACTGCATGGATTGTCCCTTTGTCTCTGGCTCAAAATGATGAACCCAATATTCATCTTGAGTTAGAAAACATTCAAGGAAACCAGATACATTTACCTCATATAATGTCAGATTTTCCCATCATGTGGTCAGCTCTTGAATAGTTGTCAGAACACCGAGCAGAAACCTTCATCATGCCAAGTTTATTGTGAAAAATATTCTCAACTCTCTAAAGAGATATGCTAATAGTATTGGCTATTTGATTTATCATCAAATGTGTGTCATCCATCACAATGATGAACATGATCAATGTTCTCTTAGGTGGTGGCAGCAGCAGTTGCAGGACACCCAGGTCAACTTCAAGACTCTCTCTTCCCCTCCTTAATTCAGCTGTCCACTTTTGCAGTGTTGATAAAGCTGAAGTGTCATCCCATAATGTAACAACCATGTCAGCATGAATGTTCTTGTTTATCCCATGATGATCTGGTGTCAGAAGATGTGGCACCCACCAAGCAGAAACCTTTGTCATGCCAAGTTCATTGTACAGAATATTCTCAACTCTCTCACAGGATATGCTACTAGCATTGGCTATTTGATTTATATTCAACAACATGGGGTGAACATGATCAGTATTTTCCTTGGGGATGGCTGTTACAGGATGTCCAGACCTTGAGTCATCTGCAAAACTTTCCCTTCTCCTCTTAAATTCAGCTGCCCACTTTTGCACTGTTGATAAAGTTGGAGCATCATCCCCTAATGTCAGCATGAGTGTCCTTGGGGATTAAACCCTTTTTCTGCAGGTACTTGATAACCCTATGATGTCAAATTTTGTACACTTTCAAGAGAAGTCGCTACTAGTTATTTTTGAAGTCTTCTTTGAACAGTCAGATGTCAGTTTACCTGGAAGGAAACAATGGAATTATTAATAAGAAAAGTTGAAATTAATGCATGCAAGATTTCACAGCTCTAGCATCTCTCCTTTGTAGCCAGCCTATGAATTTTTCAGCCCACCTCCATATAGTGACATATTGGAATCTGTGTAAATTGTGTAACATTATTTTCTTTGTGTTAGCAAAACATGTTAATTAAATTTAATGAGTATTAGACAGATGGCAAAATTTATGCTGATGTTTATGAATATGCAGGTAAGCTTGCTGTACTCACACAGGTCATTATTATTATTATTATTATTATTATTAGTTTCATCCTATGAAGAAATGACAGCAATATTTAAGTAATTTTGCAATTGCTTTGGTTATATTTTGTGTTTGAGTAATCTAGGATTTTTATCTCTACAATCATCTCTATTATCTGACGTAAGAAAAAAGACTGTTTTTTCAATCATTCAAAAAAAATACCCAGAGCTAACATGAAACAAAAAAATATAAGCAATGTATTAGCAACCTGATTTCCCCTACTTCATAATGACATTACATTGTGTTTCTTCATTGTTGTTAACTAAAACTACCTCTGTCCCATGATAGTTGGTAAATTTAGAGTATGAAATGTATATGAAAATTTAACAACTACAAGGTGCCCAGTAAAAAAGCACTAAATTCAGAAAGACTGGTGACAACTGCTGAAAACTAGTGACAACTGATGTAACTGAAAAAATTCAGGAAGAATTTCTGCACATTTCGTCGATCTGCATGACGGATATTCTTCTTTGAAAAGTACGATAACTTGACGCTCAAAATCAGTGAGTTGTTTAGCCATATAAGAAGGGCAGAACGAAAGGTGAAAGTTGTCTGCAAATAACCCTTAATTGGCGAGTCACAAGATTGAGCAGCAATTAATCCCTCATAAAAGAACCAATCAGAGTTAAGTAATTTATGTGAGAGTCGAATTATTATTCAAGGTTATTTCCGGTCAATTATTCCTGTAAGATAAAACAGTGATAATAAATTTGAGGTGTAAGGAGGTGTATGATAATTTAATGTACTACCTCCATCCTATAAGAAGTATTACATTTATTGCATGAAGTATCATGAAACAGTAGTAGTATTTTATATATATTTAACAAGACTCTGAAACTTTTTGTTTTTCTTTTCAGAAAATCCCAAAGAGAGATGTTACACTTGGTAGCAATCGTATTAATGTCCGAACTTGTTCAGATTCTTGTATTGCTTTAATGGAACTGATTCAGTATATAGCAAATGATGGAGATTTGACTCATGATTCTGCGGACGATGTTTCTTCCACAACAACTAAACCTGATCAAGTGAGTGAACCATTTGAAACTTCTTTCTTTCTTTCTTATCACTATTATCAATATCATTGACTTCCAATGTCAAATGAATCATCCAATTGAGGTTTGAAGATTGGATCAGATAGTCTACAACAAGGAGAAGAAAACATGTCCAATGATGCAGTTGCATCACCTCACAACAAAATTGTGAGAAAATTGAAAGATTAACAAATATTGCAAACTGTGTAATATGAAGCTGACATTTGTGCCCATAGTTGTTGGAGTACTTGGAATCAGTTTGGAAAAACTGAAGATCCAAGAAAGACTAGAGATTGTTAAGATGACAGCATGACTGAAAGTAGAAGTGTTGAGGAGCCTTGCTCTCCCTTAATCTCCAATATAAGCCACCATTTACTAATTGTGTGAACAGTCAGTCAGTATTATAGTCATGGGAACTATTTAGTTAAGTGGGAAGGTTTATTTGCATGAAATTTTATACAGATCAAAACACAAGTACCAATTTCTACTAATTGATGTGCAATGGTTGTCAGCAAAAGGAACAACCCAACATGCAATTTACAAATTAGAGGTACCAAAATTAAGCAAGTACAAAAATTTAAATATTTCAAAAGTATTTTAAGTACAAAAAATGCAACACCAAAATATTAAGGTGCATTGGGATAGCAAAAAATGCCTTCAAAAAGCTAAGTATTAAGTAACAGGAAAATTTTGTTAGACTCAAAGAAAAGTGTACTGAACTGTTATGTAATATCAGTCTTCTTATATGACAATGAATGCTGGACATTCTAGTCACAGATGAAGAAGAGACTTGAGGCAACAAAAAGATACTGAGAATACCATGGATTGAACTTGTGAGTAATGAAAAAGTCTCAGAGAAAATTGAAACAAGAAGGTCAATTATACATAGCATCAGAAAGAGAACGTTGATATTTCTAGGGTCCATAATAAGAAAAGAGGACTTGGAAAAAATGACACTCAAAGGACATATTGAAGGCAAGAGGGACAGGGGAAAGCAGAACATAACCTATCTAATGAGTTTGTGTAAATGGTTAGCAGAACAGGGATTAGTAGAGATAGCAATAAGACAAACTTTACTAAGAGCTACACAGGACAGGAAATAGTGAAGAGCTATGGTCGCCCACATCCTGATGAGACATGGCACATAGAAGTGTAATGGTTAGTGTCTTGGAACAAGAAATCAACAAACCAAGTTTGAATTCCAGTCAAGTCTATTACATTTACTTTTGTATAAATACCCTTGAGAATCCATCACTTCTGCCCCCAACTATAGATTAATTAGTATAGCAGACTAAGTTTTCTATGCTTAGTTATCAACCAGTCTAGGAAAAGGACAACTCTGAATTCAAAACCCAACCACCTGAAATTGTTTAATGATGGTTAGACATATGGTGTAGATACAAGGGTGATATCTTAGATGTGGCACAAGGCTAAAAGTATGGGGTACTCAGTGAGGATCAAACTTGCTATTCAGTCATAATAAATCTAGCAAGACAAGCTTGCTAACCATTAGACCACATCAAAGTACCCCTGGTGTAGATACTATGTCTAAAACAAAAACAGCATATATTTCAACAGCCATGGATAATTCGACTGGAGGGGGATTATACAGAATGTTGTTGACACCGATGGATACTGAATCCAAGAAAGGAAATTAAAAAATATTGTTTTTTTGTTTTTCTTAGCAGAAAAGATATCAATGCTTTGGTCAACATATTTTACAATAGGTAGAGTGAGATTTTCTTTTATTGATTTTCACCCAATACGATGCCCAAGAGCCACTCAAGGTAGAGGGTTACTGTATAGTGTTGTATGAGCATAAGAAAGGGCAAGAGGTGAAGTTCAAGGCGCAATGCAGGTTAACTCTAGACTTGAAGAGGTCAAGATTGTTCTGATCAGGGAAAACATGAAAAGGAACTGGAAACCCAATCCTAAATAGAAAACAAGGGATAAACCTCTACTCCTGTTCAAAACTGTAGCTGATTTTGCTGAAAGATTTTACAAGAATGAAAAAAATTGTTTGTATCTTGGCAACCATTCCTGCTACATGTTGTACAGCATGCTCCTTCAATATTGAGCAATAACTAAGTGAATGAAGTGTTGCTTTGTGAATTTTAATTGTGAGTTCAATCCCTAGGCCAAGCAGTGCACACTTGGACTTGGTAGAAATGGAATGAACAATAAGCCTTTTGAACTTTGTCAAAGACCAAACTTTTTCAAAGTGCTTTGAGTGAGTGAGTAAAGCCTGAGAGTCTTGGCAAAGAGCATTCTTCTTTGAACCTTGTGGACTGGTGCTACAGAATCACAAACAAAGAACTGTACCAAATAACAGAAACCACATCACTTGAGGACTTTCAACAGCAGCAACAACTAAAATGGATGTCACATGTAAGTCAAAGAGAAAATAATGAAGCCTAAGTGTCTTGGCAAAGTTCATCCTTCTTTGAACCTTGTGGACTGGTGCTACAGAATCACAAACAAAGAACTGTACTAAATAACAGAAAACGCATCACTTGAGGACTTTCAACAGCAGCAACAACTAAAATGGATATCACATGTAACTCAAAATTGAATGTGAAAGATTTAAAAAAAAATTTTAACCAATTTATTCTTCATATTGTTTAAATTCAACCTCTGACCCTGTCCGTAAATTTCCTATCTAGTGACCCAGTTTGAATGTCATCAAATGACCAAGGTTTTCTGTACCTGATGAAAAAACATCTTGACGTTATTTGTTATTCTATAAACTATTAAGCATTTCTCTTATTTGCAGGATGACCTTGACATTGCTTCCCTGGTATCGGCTGTTGCTGACCCTGCTGTTATGGACTCCACAATATTAGTGCATGACATGATGGAAGATGCAATGAAAGAATCTGCACTCCCGGATACTGGCAAAAGTAAGTAAAAGAAAAAGAATTCTCTTAATATCGTTGGAGGTTGTAATGAGACATGAACACAAAACATTTGCTCTGTATTTCATTTCAACTCCCCTTGCATGATACTATATAAACAAAAAGAGTGAGGGTGATCCTGTGCATTTCTCTTAATTATTCAAATTATATATTGGTGTTTTCATACAAGTTAAATATTGATATTGTTTCTAACATTGTAAAGGTCTTTAGGGTTGTTGAATTTAAAATATGTCAATACATACTGGATTATTTAATGTTGTAATCAGTCCTTTGTTTTCTTTTATTATACTTAAATTGGTAAGCATTTACTTGGTTTAGAGATGGGTAAATATTAGTCATTTTGAGCTTATAAGCATTTACTTGATTCCAGGATAGCTAAATATTGACCTGTCTATATTTGAGTCTATATGTATTTATTTGTATCTTAAAAATGATTCCAAGGTTTTTATAACACTATTGAACTCTACTTTGAGCAATAAGAATGTATAATTACTTTCCATGCTTAACAGAAGAATCGTGATGAAATCAGTCATAAATGGAAATGACATGTTCATCATTAATTAATCATAGCTAATGATCAGAAGCTCATGAAGGATTGAAATAAAGTTCAAATATATATATATATATATATTATTATTCAAGGATCATTTTCTAACTTATTCAAGATGATCTTGTTAATCTCTTTATTTTCAGCAAGATGTGCAGTGTGTGTGTGTGTGTGTGTTTAAGTTTCTTTCTTTTGTTCTTCTGTGGTAGTCAGTTGTTTGTTTGATTTGTCTATAATGTAAAATGAAATTACCACAAATGTTGTCATTAAAACAAATAAGTAAATTTCATATGTAGGATTATGGTATAATTTACAATATTTGTTACAGTTTCAAAATATACTATTAAAAATTACCGACATTTCATTTACAATTCCCAACCAGTGATGTAAATGCTAATGTGATTCCCACTTTGAAGGCAGAAAATGGCTTTATTTGAATAACAAAGCATTTATAAAATTCATAAACAAAAGAATTATTTATAAAAGATCACAAATCTGGTGCCCTTGCTATTTACTTTGAGCTCTTTGATAAGATCCAAAATAGAATCAGCAATATTATTGGTCCTGATCTGGCAACTCAGCTTCAGTCACTTACCCACTGCTATAAGGTTGCCTCTCTGTGCCTTTTTTATAAATACTTTCATGGTAATTGTCCAGATGAGCTCTTTTCCTATGGTACGTAGACTTTATGAATTTAAGCACAGTATTAGACTGGTGTCAAGATCTCATCAATTTAGAGTCGAGCTGGTTGCCAGATGTAACCCTAAGTTCTATGTTAACAGTTTCATTTACACTCCTTGCTTGTGGAACTCTCTTCCAGCTCCATACTTTCTAGACAACCTTAATCTGCAAAAATTTAAATGTTATGTTAATTGCTATTTGCTGTCCTCCTGATTACCTTTTTCTCTTTCTGCTCATTATTAATGTTTCTGTTCCTAATTCTTCCACACCCTATGACCTCTTGTGTTTTTGTGGCTTTACTGCCTTGCTTGGGGTGATACTGAAAAAAATATTATAATAATAAAGACATAGACAACCAAATTGGAAACAAGTAGCAAAATACAGTTAACTTTTTTTAAATTGATTTTTAAACTTGAATACAAATATGAAAATGAGTGATTTGTCTTAAGCAAGAATTATAAAGTTGGGAATGCGCTTAAATTCATGTGGTTGAGGTACCAAGGAAAAAAGCTTATCAGAACAATTGCCATGAAAATACTGAAAAAATCCAGAGCGAAACCACATTGCAGCAGTGTGAAAGTGACTGAAGTTGAGATGCCAGATCAGGACCAATTATATTACAGACTCTTCTTTGAGTTTTGTTGAGAATTTCAAGATATATAGCAAGAGCACCAGACTAGATGTGACAGCAATATTCAATACATGGACAAATGGTAGATTTGTAAATGTGCAAGATAGATTCTGACGAGAAAAATTGTCTTGCATGATACAGTGAACCAAGTTTGCTAGCAGTAGATCTAGCAATTGATTCAATGTAATCACTCCACTTCATGTCAGTAGAAAATGTGAGCCTAAGAAGTCTCAATGATTTGTTCTCCTGGAGATTAGCATCAGCCATACTGATAGAAGGCATAATTGGTTCTCTATGATGATTAAATGATAGCAGTTTTGTTTTGGAATCATTCAAATTTACAAGCTATTCTTTACCCCAAATAACCACTGATTGGAGGTAATTATCAAGAGCAGCTGCCAGTCTTATTTTCTGCGTAGATATTTTGTTGAAAGTGTTGTTGTATTTGGTCTTTTCATGTGTCCACATTTCATTTTTACTTTCTTTTTTTTTTGTTTTTGGTTTTTCAGCAAGTCATGGTTCCCATTCCAGGAGAAGCTCTGGGGCCAAGAATCCAGTAACTGAAGTTTACTTTATGCCTCCTAAAGAGGAGAAGCAGCCATTGTATGCACCCACAAGTGATACTGCTGATGATCTCACACCATCTGTAGACATGTCCTCATCATCAAGTTCTCGGTCTCTTTTCAGCAGCACAATGTCAGAAGAGAATACGGAATTGAGCATAGATGAAGAATACTGTATTTTGGATGATGTTGGAATGGGGGTCGAGGTAAAAAAAAAAAATCATTTGCATTTTTCTTTATGGTCATAACTTAATCTTTTTCATTACTTTGTGGAATTGACTTCAAAGAGGATGCTTTCTCAACCACTACAAACTTGTTCAAGTCTACATTTCATTATATTTATTAGTAGTACATATTTTATTCTAAAATAGTTATCCTTCTCCTAGACTTATTACCAACCCAAACTAAAGTGTCTAGTCTATATTGCTGATGTGAATGCTGGGGGAGAGACATGAAGACGGGTTCATGCCTTTCTCAATGATGTTAATTTGAAATGAACATAGACTTCCTGTACCAGAATTTGAACTCTGCTTCCAGAATCCATTTTCTATGCTGCTAACTCTTTTGAGTAACCAACACCTCTAATTTGTTGCTCTAATAAGGTTAAGATTTGTTTCTGTGAGTCACTGTCGAACCATTTTTACTATCTAACAACTACTTTTATGCCTGTCATCCATCAATTATCAGAGATAAATTTGTCTCTTCATAGAATTAATAATCCTTATTCTCAATTCTTGGTCTGCAGATTGTATCTTCATCGATCTGCTTACTCTATATTTTCGTAACCAGTACTTTTAATGACCATCATCAATCAACTGTCAGAGATTACTACATTGCCTTTTCGTAAAATTATCGCTGAAGCAATTCTTCGGTTTCTTGAGAAAAATAGACTTTTTGAAAACAAAAATCTTCTCATGTTGATCAGTATATTCATTGTTCTATCTATTAACCCTTCTTTTCAGTTGCCAATGCTAAATAGTGTCACATTGTAGTTCATCAGAACTCATGTCATGGATGTAGAGATAGAGTAGTGAGAGGCTTGCAACATTTCATCTGGATTGTAGGGTGGAAAATAATTCATCATTCACAAAGATGGTTAGTCTATATAAGGCCTACAAAGTCTGAAGAAGTCTTTTCGAAGGACAAAACATAATATAGGAGTGTTTTTTCTATTTTGTCATTCAGTTACCCATGCTTTTCCATTTGGACTAGTTTACTCATCTTGGTCATTATATTCACAGCATTTGTCATATTAAATTGATTAAGATTTTAAAAAAATACTTTTAATTTATTTTTTAAATTTTGTTGAAAAAACAATTAAGTGAAAAAGAAATTATGAAAAGAAACAATAAAAGCTATCAACCATTCTTCTTTTCTTTTTTTTTTTCAGCCCCGAGGCAATTGTCCAGAAGTCAAGGTTTATGCCAAACAACCATTGCAGCTAAAAGAAAATTATTTTTATCAACCTCTGGGAAGAACAGATGCTCTTAAGTCTCCAGAACATTTCCCTGTGCCAGAAACAAGGCACACCTTGAAGGAAATGTCCATCCATTGGTATATGTATGGTGGGTCAGATTTTGGACCTGTTAAAAAAGAACGTAAGTATTAAAATGCTATTATTATAAAGAACACAAGATTAAATCTCTCATATATAAAATTATTCTTTATTCACTTCTGAGCTTTGTTAATTGACATAAGGTTGTGTGGCTTTGGGGACTTTCTCCAAACATGTATTCTTCTTCTTTTCAGGTTGGGCACTTATGTAACTTCTTGTTATACCATTGTGTGCTCATCCTAAGCACATCTGGGTCAACCACCTGTGTACATGAGAGGAGAGCCACTGATATCCTGTAAGGTGAAAATCTGAACTCGTTGGCTAGGAGTTAATTTCCAAGTCAACACTGATGGATCTGGCTCCTCTGATGTTCTTGTATGACATTGAGTACAAAGTCTACTTTGATATCTCTTAAAGTGAACTAAGTATATATTAGTGTCACTATGGATCAAAACAACTTCTCTTAGAACAAAAGTCCTTTATTGATATTAAATTCATTTCAGACTATCTGGTATTTGCTGATGTGGATCTCATGTTGTAATATTCTCTTATATTTTATGGCGATAACAATTTATGTGTATGTGTGTGTCATTCTATCATGTTTCTTTCATGAAATACCTGAACTGATTTTTGCATGATCTGTACATTACTTCATTTAACTATATCATGAATTTCAAAAATAATTGGTGATTTTTAGAAACTAAAAAAGTAAGGTTGGTCATTTTGAAGAGCAGTGTTTCAACCTTCTTTACATATGGACATTTTGTTTAAGATATTCTACTTTCCACTTCAATTTAATAATAATAAATAATTTATAAAACAAGTCAGTCAAAACAGAATACTTTATTTTGATGCAATATGAACTTGTCATTTTACACTCAATAGTTCTCTAACGATTATGAAAAATAGATTTTTCCATTTTTCATGCCCAGTTACAATTCAACACCAAAAATGGGCATTTTTAGGATTTGCCTGCAGTTGTTTACAAATGTTGACACATCATTGAGCCTGGTCATTAGTCACAAGAAACTTCTCAATAGCATCTGTTCACAAGCTTATGGAGGTGTTGATTGAGCGTGTCTTGTGAAGGATCAAGTTTTGCCAACAATGTGCTTTTTGCTTGGCTGTTGTTCAACCATTTCAAGCAAGGCCTCGTCTTCCACAACAGAAGTTCTCCCTGACCTTGGTTGTGTGTCACCTTCCTTGAAACATCTGAACCAATTTTGTGCCACGTTTGCTGACAGTTCCTAGGCCTTCCACATCATTAATTTCTTTTGCCACTGCCCTTGCATCCAGTCCCTTTTTTCCACAGGGTGCATAAAATCGTTCTAACTGCAATGTTTTCACCACTCATTATTAAAGCTGTAAAATAAAGAATAAACAATGTTTATATGATATATATGAAAATAAAGAATAAACAACTTAGCAATGATTGGACAAGAGGTTGTATCAAATTAATGATATAACATAAAGATTCAAGTTGCCAAAAATTGTTAGGGAAAAATCAAAAAAACGTTTGACTCAACCTGGTATATATCTGATGGTAATTATTTCAAATATAAATTAAATAATTGTTTCAATTCTTATGTCATTGGATGAAACTTTCATAGTAAAAAACACAAATATTAATCTGACTTATTTATTTTTAATTTAATATGGAATTTCTATTTTTGCAACTGATTTACATATTTTCTTAATATTTCCTAGATTCTAAGAAGAATTTCAAGCCTTCAGCCTGTGATACAAATTCAACCCTACAAGGTTACAGGTATTTCACATCCTTCAACTTTTTATTTTTAACCAATATTGTTGATTTGATGATTTAGCATTAATTTCATATATATTTCATTGGCAATAATAGACAATATATATATATATATATATATATATATATATATATATATATATTTTACAGTATGCTATATTTATGGATAAAAGTGCTCAATATCAACTGAGTAAAAAGTCAACAACACTATAAAATAACTACAAATAACTGCATTCAGATTCACAATTATTCCTAATCAATTAATTAGTAATTAATTAATTAATAGTGTCTAGAAAAATTTGAAACATAAATGTTACCACCTACCCAACAACCGTTAAGGTAATAAAATAGACCTAATAATGCACCATTGATGGGTACATATAAATAGTTGAGCAAAAACAAGACACAGAGACTGAAGGTTGCATTCAAGCATGAAACAGATTGTCACCACTTGATGTTGACCTCAGTGTCCACTTATCTACAAAATGCGATGGATAAATTGTCGCCATTTTAAATTTTTAATTTCATGTATGCACATTGTTTGTTTTTGATTTTGTCAACTGCACAGTATAGTAGGGTCAGTTGGATACCATCTTTGAGAAAAGGAGCACCATAACACAATTAACTCTGGCAAAAATTTACAAACAGCATGCTGTACTACTTGGCATTCACAACAGATGCTCCAATACGAACATTTCAGTGTGTTTGGGTGTCAATCTGAGGACAGTGCAGAGGATTCAGAAAGAGTTGGATGAGTCTAATGCTGATTAGGAAGCTACAGCAGCTTGGAAAACTCATTCTAATCCTTCTGATAAGAAAAGAACTCTCGAATTTGTGGGTGAGAACCTCAGACTCAACACGAAGACCTACATTAAGTGACTTGTGGAGTTAGTGCTGCCCTGGGTCAAGAGGGTGGCTGCTGGTAGACCCTATGTCAGGCAACGAGACTCTGCACCATACGACACAAGCAGGAGAACCCAGTCATGGCTGTCAGACAATTTCTGCAACCACAACACCCCTTATATCTGGCCACCTAACTCCATAGACTGCAACTCCGTTGATTATTATGTGTGGGGTGCAGTTGAGCAAGAGGTCAATAAAACTCCTTGTAACACAAAAGATGTACTGAAGGCAAGGATTATGGCAGTATTCACCAACTTAAACAAGGAAACTGACCAGAAGAGATGCAGGAGATTCTGAAGTCATCTGGAGAATGGCGATTTTATTGAATAAATTTACTCTTTAGTATTTCAAGATTTTTTTGTGGAAATTTGTTAAATATATCTGTTAAAAGAACATGTAAATGTTATTTTCATTTTTGCATAATTTAGTTGACAATTTATCCATCGCATCCATATATATATATATATATATATATATATATATATATATATATATATGCTTGTCTGTGTATCTATGTCAAAGTGGAAAAAGGATTTGTGTGACACGTTTCATCTTTTAAGTCTATACCGGAAGTGATGTTTACGTTGATGTGACAATATATGGACATGAAGGAGAGACAAAGCTGAAAATTTAAATTTAACTATTTTTTTTTTAAATATGCGTGTTGAGTATAAAGACTGGTTTCTTTAGCATTTTTGTCATTAAATATCCTACCTTGTAATAATAGATTTGCCAAGGAATGAGAAATGTTAGAAACTGAACACAAATTTACTGTAGATGATCTCACAATTAAAGTACTTTCTATACATTTTTGCCCTAGTAAATTGCTTTTTCTTTTAATTAAAGTAGCCTTTTTAAAATCAAAATTATAGTTAGACTCATTATAGTGGGCAACTAATGCATCGAATGTGTTCTTTTGTAAAAGATCCCTTTTATGTTCATATAATCTATTATTTAAATTCCTTGCATTCCATGTAGCAATAATTATAGCTGAAAGAGTAAATTCCTTCTTCAACTTTTAGTTTATGATTTTGTATTATTTTTTTTATTGTTTTAGATGTAATTGTAAAATAAATTATGTTAAGCTTAGATTCTTTTCAGTTGTGTTTGTGATAGAGTTGGTGGGTAGAATAATATATTTTGATTCATTGTCAGAATGATTTGCACTTCTATTTTGAATATTTTGCAAGCCTTTTGTTTCACATTAAATATGAATAATTAGGATATTGGAAGAGCTTGAAAGTAATTTTAATGTATTTCTCCTCTTGCAAATATTGAAGGCCACAAATTCTGAGTGCTCTTAAATTGAATCCGATGATGATTCTAGATTTTATTTTGTTATAGTGAGAATAGAAATTTATGAGATCATTTTTATTATATGATTTGCAATGGACACTTAGTTTTAGACTATTGTCATTACAGCGTAACATGATATCTAGGAAAGGTAAAGTAAACTATTTCATAAGTGATTTCTATCATATGTGTTTTAGTTTATCTACAAGGTTAGGTAAAGTAGTTTTGCAGGAATATATTAATAGAGATTCATCAATATATCGGAAATATGTTGATTAGGTAAAATATTTTCAAAGGACCAGATTAAAGAAGTTCTAAGATGCTTGCTAAAGCCATATCTAGAGACGAAAACAAAAACTTTGTCCATTTTGTCATAGATTTTCATAAAATTGTTCTTGAGATATAAAAATTTATATATGGTTTTCCCAATATATTTACTAATGTTCACCCAATACAAAGCTCAGGAGCCACTCAAGGTAAAGGGTTTTCCTGAAATAAGTTATTCTATGAGCAGTAAGAGTAAGAAGAGCATAGTTTATGTAGATATGTGGCAAAGATAATGGATAACCTGAGATTTGAAGAGGTTAAGATGTATGTGGCCAGGAAAACATCGATTCATGAGAAGAATCTATTTTGAGTGGAACTTTCTTCTTACCAATGGAATACAAAGGACATGAGGATTGTTCACTGCAGTGTATGTGTCATGGTGGGTCTTAGCTGTGGTGGAACTAAAGAACGTAGCTTATTGGAATATTTTTATGGAATGATTTAAATTTAGATGAGAAACGACAAAATCAAAAACATAAGAAACAGTTTGTTATATTTACACAATGAAATAGACTGCCACCACTCATATATATATGTATATATATAAAATTGTACACAGGCCAACATCAAGTGAGGACACATTCAGACACGAAACAGACTACTTACATTATTTGGACTGTTATCCTCATCTTTGCCGCCATATTCACATTTCAGCTGTTGTACGCTCTGGCCTTCTTCAGGTGATTGGAATTTTGAACAGTACCCTTTATTTCATCCACCAGGGTAAATTGTTCTAGTTCCAGTGCCATGCCTCTTCCAGATGTCTCAGTTATTTCCCTTTAACTCAATCTATATTTACATATGCTCTATCTCTGATATTGAGTACTTTTAGCCATTAATATAGCATACCTTAAAACTATATATATATATATATATATATATATATATATATATATATATAGTCCATTGCTACTAACAAGCAGGAATTTTTTTCTCGAATGATGTCCATGCTGGACGAAACTAATCGAGAACCTAATTCAAATAAGAAAACAAAAATATTCATATACAAACCAGTGTGTCTGAAATTTTAATTTTTTAACATTTTTTCTTGTTCAATATATATATATATATATATATATATATATATATATATATATATATATATATATATGTTTTATTCTATTTTTATTTATTTTTTGAATGACTCTGAGATTATGGTTAATATTCTTATCCAAACCAAGCAGTAGACTGGTTGTCTTCTTTTCCCCAGTGTCAACTAACTGTTACTCTTGGTACAAAGATTCAATGAGCAAATGATAGTAACAATGTGTTGATGTTAATTTTATTAGTAACTATAAATTAACTTTCATCTTATTAAAGTCCTAATGCTTTCAATAAGAAAAAAAAAATCTGCCAATGCTTCTATAAATGGATAAAAAAATTTTTTATAAAATTCACCCTGTGGCCCATTATACAAAACAATTATTTATTTGTTTAACTATTCACATTGAATGAAGTACATATCTTTTTTGATCGTAGGCAAACAACCTTTGCAATTAATTAAAATCATATGATGTTTCTTGTTTGCTTAAAACTGGTTTCTCTATCTATATGAAGAAAAACAATGGTGATTGATATTTGTTCCTATTCAATGTTTTCATTTTGCATTGTGATTAACAAATTGTTATTTTGATTATTTGCATGATTTACATTCAGGCTAATATCCTCATCTTTGTTGTTATTATCACAACATTTTGACTGTTATTTCCTCTGACTTTCTTCTGGTATATGTTAATATGGGTATCCTTCATGGAAATTTGAACTGAACCCTTTATTTAATCTATAAGGTTAGATTGTTTTTTTTTTCCCTGCAGTCCATATTTGGGAATATTTTATCTTGTTCTTATTTAGTACTATTCATTGCTTGCCTTATTTCCACTATCTAAGTCTGTACTACCTGACTCAGGGATTGAACTCCTAATTACTATGTCACCAAATTCATGGATAGCAGAATGAGGACAGTCTTTCTTTTTTAAATTAAATAAAGAGTTCAGTTCAAAATTTCTTGAAGGTTACTCAGATCAACAAGCACCTGAAGAGGGCTGGAGAATGCAGTGACTGAAAGTATTGTGGTATGAACAAAAGAGATGAAGACAGGCATTAATTAGAATGCGAAAAATGTCAATAATAGAAATTTTCTGCTTTTAACGCAGGGATACTGAAAATGAATTTAATAAGACAATGAAAGAGAGAAATCGAATGCATACACCGTATGACCAAGGTGGGCCTGGGAGAGATACAGATATTCTTATGGAGCTTCAATTATCTAAGGTATTTGCTTGTCTCTTTTTGTTTTCTGGAAGTCTAACTTCATTTATACTGAATAGTAAAAGTTAAACTGAGTCGCTTTTTAATAATTGTCATTTATATCTTTAAATTTACTATTCCTTGATAAAAGTAATTTATTTTTGCAATAAGAGTTAATACCTCTATCCTTTAATATTTGGTATATTTGCCTATTTTTATTTTCATTATTGGCCACATTTATTAATAAATATTACTCCCTCTGTCCCATAATCATTGGTATATTTGCCTATTTTTATTTTCATTATTGGCCACACTTGTTAATAAATATTACTCCCTCTGTCCCATAATCATTGGTATATTTGCCTATTTTTATTTTCATTATTGGCCACATTTATTAATAAATATTACTCCCTCTGTCCCATAATCATTGGTATATTTACCTATTTTTATGGCCATGCTTATTAAAGGTTATATGATCTAACAGCTTTGCGTTGTCATTTTTCAATTTGACAGTTGTCATTTGTTGAAATCATTTTAGGTGCCTTAAAGTTCACTTCTCAGAAGTAAACAAAAATGTGATTTTTTTGTATTTGCAACTGCTACTTTTATATATTTGATCAGTTAATATCAATTATGGATAGAAATTTAAAATCACTCAAGTCAAAACCTGAAATGACAAATGATACTTGAAATTCTGTTACAGTATTTGTTAAAACATTCTAAAACTGAAGAAACGATCCACCTTAAATGTCACCCTGATGTTATTTTAAATACCCACTAATTTTAAAATGTAGATTAAATTATATAAATATTTTTCAAAATGTTCTAAACACTGAACTATTTGATTTTCATTACATTTGCTTTATTTTCTTTTTATTTACAAATATAAAAACTATTTGAGGGCAAATTTCATTCACTGAATGTAGCAACTATTATGGAACAGAGGTAGAGCTGAGTTAGGGCTGACTTTTTTTTTTCTAGTTATCATCATCAGTCATTGTTAATCCACTGTAGAACAAAGGTTCTCTTCCAAACTTCTTTCCATTAATCATCTGAAAGACCTCCTCATTGCCTTCATTCAGTATGGCTGATGCTAGCCTCCAGGAAAATGATTAATTGATCCTTCTTGGGCTATCATTCTCAGCTGATATGAAGTGGAAAGACTATATTGAATCAATTGCTAGGTCAGCTGCTAAGAAAGTTGGTTCACTGTGTCATGCAAGACAATTTTTCTCCTCAGAATCTATCTTACATATCTATAAGTCTAACATTCATCCATACTTACAATATTGTTGTCACATATGGTCTGGTGTGCTTGATATTAGCCTTGAGCTCCTTGATAAAATCCAAAGAAGAATCAGCAATATTATTGGTCCTGATCTGGCTGCTCTTAGCGTCCAGAATGTTTCTCACACATATTTGAATATTATCTGTTACTTCATTACACATGACACGTATCTAACCAATAAGAACTTACCAAAGACAATATACCATTAATATGCATCGCTTTGCTTTTCTTTTTGTTTTTTTTTTTTTTTCCCTATCTTGATCTCTGATGAAGCTTTGATAATGTGAAAATCTGTTTCCTATTTGTTCTTTATCTTATCATACATAGATATGTAAAATTTCAGATATAACTACAATATATTTGTAAAAGTACAGTATGAATAAAGGCAAAATGCAAAGTTATCTTAACTGACATGTTTCATCTTCTGGCAAAATAAACAAATTTATCTCATACTAAAATAATTTAAGTATTAATTGCATAGAAAATAAAATTCAAAATCATTTACTCACATTCTGTTAAATCCATCCACCTTAATTTATTTTTCAGTTAACTTGATGAATATTTATAAGTGTCTTTTAAATTTAAAAATTTTGAAAAACTAACAACATTTTTATTTTTCCTGTTGCAAAATAAAATCTTCATATTTGCATTGATAAAAGTCTGTCAGGATGAAACATTTCAGCTATGTTTTCCTTTTGTCTTCATTCATACATAAATATGTATACGCAAACAGTCATTTTTGGTAGATACTAATGCAACTTATATTTGATTTGTCTTTATGTTGACTTAAATTACATGTACATATCTATATCTATATGATAGCTATATCTATAATAAATGGCTGCAAAATTCCCAGATCCTTCTTTTCTGAAAACTACAGAATACACTGAAGAAAAATGTTATTCCTTAATAAAAAAAAAAAAAAAAATCAGGAAAGTTTTGCACATGTGCATCCATGTATGTATATATGTGCAATTATCTGAATAATAGTAGCTAATAGGCTATGATGTGCGTGTGTTGGTATATATGTATATATATGAGCACACATATTCATAGATATATATTTATGCAAAAAGTTACCTGTAATTTGTGGTAGATAAATGATATGCTTTATTTCAATTTATATTTTCACGTGTTTTCTATTTTGTTTGTTTTCAGGTGCGAATGTTGCATGAAACGTATCCAGCTAATTGTGAGCAGGTGTCCCGCCAGGTGTTGCTCATTCATGATGTTGAAGTACTTGACCGGTTATCGTCTTCCCCTTACAACAAGTTCCTCTATCAATACACATCAGAATCTACCCCCAGGCAAACATATGCTAACATGGTAGGTACTCGATTGGTTATCATCTTCTCCTTACAAGAAGATATTTGAAAAAATAAATACATTTTTTAAAATAAACTTTTAGTTGTATTTTTCTCTGTGAATTTTTCCCATGTTTTTTTTTATTATTAATTAATATATATTTCTAAATTTATTTAATTCCAGTTGGTGATTAAAGCCTTACACACACGTCCAGATCCTGCTGTTCCTGCTGAAGAGTGTGCACTTAAAATATCTGTACAACCAATCAAATTAAATATAGATCAGGTAAATTATTGATTTCCGCAAAATCCCTTTGTGATAATTGTGTTTATGTGCTATACACTCTTCCATATCATAATGACACTTTTGGTTCTTCAACGTGAAATTTCTAGCATCATGGCCGACAAGATGTATATTTACTTTACCACTTTTTTGAATGAGGCCTACTAGGACAAGTTCTTCAATATAAGGCAGTGGATTCCATCTCTTCATGAAAGGTTACATAGAATGCTGTTATGTGTACTGCTATGTCTTTGTTGGATAAAACAATAGAAATAGGTTCTATTACCCCAATATTCTATTGCTATGTTAGGAATTAAAAAAATAACATAATCAATATATTTATTAGATTTATATACACTACAAATTTTTATTATTTCAAATATTATTATAGTGGGTACTCTCTATTTGAAATAGATGCCCCATTACGTCTATTGGCCAGTACATTTGAGAAATGTTAGTGAAGAAAAATGCATTCACAAGCAGTGATCAAACCTCTGTTTGTCTGAGAAACCATCATTTGATCCAGTATGCTTTACCATTCAGCCACAGAGAAGAAAACAACAAGGAAGGTCCTATTTTTTCTTTTAAGGAAACACATCCTTTTTTTCTTAAAAGCTTCATATCTGCTCATTTTTGTATTTGAAACATCAACAATAACCCTTCAGAAATTGCTTTGTATATGTTTCTGATATGAAACTGAGCAGATATGAAACTTTCAAGAAAATAATCTGGCTGAAGATGATGTACTTCCTTAAAAGGGGAAGATATAACCTTTTTTGCTGTGTTGTTCTCTGTGGCTGATTGGTAAAACACACCAGATCAAACAGTGGTTTCTCCTACAAAGGGGGAAACCGGTTGGATATCTGTCAGGAAACACATTTTTTTGACTAACTTAAATGTGCAGCCTGATAGATGTAATACACACTGGGACATCTATTTCAAATATGTATTACCAATGTTATAGTGTAGTGTTACTGACTCACAGGAAATAGTATGTACTCAACTGCCTCATGGGTAATAACCATAGCTATTTATAGTTTTGATGACTTAATATGTAAATGAGTCACCTCATCTCCCTGTACCAAAGAAGTTTTATCCCCTTATTTTCCCTGGTATTTCTTCTGGGAGCTTTTGTCTACTCACTATCTTCCTCCCTCTACTTGTCTAGATATGAGAGATTGTGATCTTTTTCTTTTTTTATAGAAGTGTTCCTCCAACAATTGTCCTTGTTCCTCTTCAGAATCTATATTACTCTTAATTTCACTATCGTCATGTTTGTCTTGCCTTGACATGACAACTCTAATAATGTTTGTAGTAATAAAAATGTTAAAAATAAATTCATTAATTCTTTAGAAAATGTATTACAGATATATTATACACTGACATGCCAAAAGTTCATGGGATAGGTGTCTAGTATCATGTAGGAGCCTTGCTCAACTCCAGCCAGCCAAAGTGCAGCAGCTTGATGTGGCATTAAGTAGACAAGTTGTCAGAAAATTTCAGAAGAGATGTTGAACCATGTCATCTCGATAGCTGCCCATAGCTGTTTGTCAGTGAAGAAACTTGTATACAAATAGAACTCCCTGTGCTAAAAATGCTAAATTGGGGCCATGTTGGGTAAATTTAATAGCTACACCATTCTCTTCAAAACAATTCTGGGCAATTTGGGCTGACATGATTTTTTTTTCTATATATTTTTCCAATTCTTAGACAAAAATGTATTAACTCTGAAGAGGTAACACTTTATTATTTAATAACAACAGAAAACCACTCCCCCACAAAATTTATGCCATATTTTGTTAAGTCCTTGTTATTATTGGAGGATTTTGTCATATGCATCTTTAAATATTTTTTTTTCCAATTATTCTTGTTGCCCTGTGTTATGAATAATCAGGAGTAGTCTCTCCTTGTTTTGTTACTCTCCTCTTTGAGAAAACTATTTCTGTTTACTGGGACTATAAAAGGACACTATATGTGAACATTGTATTCTCAGTTGAATAAAGCTCTCTTAAAGCCTACACATGCATACTTTCGTCATTACACTCTGTATCCTCTTTCACAGTCTTTTCACTTCCTGGCTTTGTAAACATCTTGGGACAATCTAACATTATAATAACAAAGACACTGCCACCTGGCATCACCACTGCAAGGGAGAAAACTATATAGGAAAACATTACAGTTTAAATATAAACTCTTGTCCTATTACAGTGTAATGAAAAACAAACTAGGGAGGAGCTTTACTTGAAGTTTTATTCAACTATAACTCAACTCTGACAACAAACAAGTTGGAAGTTATTCTTTTATAACTGGTCCAGAGGAAGACAACTATGATTGACCTCCACCACATATAGTAAAATAATTCCTTCATATTACTCAGAATATTTATTTATTTTTTAAGAATTTATTATTTTCTATATTTTGTTCCTTTCTGGTTTTTTTGTTGTTTTTTTTTCTTTGTGCTTTTTAATTTCTTTCTTTAATTTCTGTTTGCTTTTCAGGATGCCTTATTTTTCCTCATGAAGTTCATGACAGATATCATGTATGGATCTTCCACAGAGGATCTGAAACCTCGAAGGTCACCAGAACATGAATTCAAGACTGATGGCTCACGGAGGTCATCCTATTCCAGTGCTCCACTCCCAATTTTGAGCACAGCCACACAAGCTGCATCCAACACAGAGGAAGTGGAGCAACAGCAAGAACTTTTAATTAAATTTGATCTTAAAGAATCAGTGAGCCTTCCCACTGATTCACCAACTTCAATGTGTTCAGAAATGAAAGAAAACCGGCCACCATCTCAGCCAACCTACTTCAAGTATCTAGTTTTTCTCTGACCTTTTTCTTTTTTTGTTTCCAATTGACTTTCTATAAATAGAAAATACAGTGTAACCAGGATATAAGAGAAACCCGGATATAAGAGAGATTTTCTCTGGTCCCAAATTAGAGCCTGTGTTAATGTATATAAAATAGACCAAACCCGGATATAAGAGAAACCCGGATATAAGAGAGATTTTCTCTGGTCCCAAATTAGAGCCTGTGTTAATGTATATAAAATAGACCAAACCCGGATATAAGAGAAACCCGGATATAAGAGAGATTTTCTCTGGTCCCAAATTAGAGCCTGTGTTAATGTATATAAAATAGACCAAACCCGGATATAAGAGACTTCTTCTCTGGTCCCGACAACTCTCTTATATTCGGGTTACACTACATTTCCAAATAGAATAAAAGCTTGATTTAAAGAATTGTGTGGAGGATAATAAATCTAATAAATTCTTTGTTTTGTAAAGAAGAAACAAGTTCTGTCAATCATTGCATTTAACCCTGCATTAGTCACCTTGGATTATCAAAAATGGATAGTCCTCTGGGGTGTTTTACACATTCCAATCCCAAAATGCTTATAGTGTTACAATTATGTAAAATACTGACATACTGCTGAAAAAAAAAACATAACAAGCAATCATTGTTACAATATACATTAAATCAAAACAAACTGAATATATAATTATTCATTGAAATGAAAATTATAACACATTTGTTGCGTAAATATATGTCGTAAATTGTAGATGAAACACACAAATACAATAATAGAGAAAAGTTTTATTCATCAAAAATAATCACAATATATTTCCATGAATAGAAAACTCATAATTACAGAACTGACTGAAAGAGTAATATATACATACATATATATATATATATATATATATATATATATATATATATATATATATAAATCATGAAAACTTACCTTCATTAGTCAGGTGAGATGGCAGGACATCCCAAAGAAGACAAAGCAACATTTGGCTCCCACAACTAAGCTACAACTGCACCCCCCATCCCGTGCTACACACCCTCACTAAGTCAGGAGAGTAGTGGGAGGGAGCAAAACAAACAAGTTGCTAACTAGGACTTACTAGTACATTAAAAAATTTGGGCACAACAAAACACTTCATGTGACTAACATAGGGTTAATAAACATCATTTTGATAAATCCAAAACAATCAGCAGGCAAGTGACCAAGGGTTATGTAAAACTTTATAAAATATCAAGCATTTCCTTGCTTATATTGAAAAGGGTTTTAGAAATGGTGCTGCAGATGTTGACATGTACCTAGAAACTTAACATGGACTCAATAAATTTCTTCTTGCATTTATCTTTGTTCAATAAAATTAAAATGTCAGTTCATGATGGCCCATATAATCCACAAGTGGTTCCTTAAATCCAGGGATGTAAAAATAACGTTTCATTGTATTTTATTCAAAATAATAAATAACAATTATATATTGAATGAACATATAGTAAACTTACAACAGTTCACATTTTGAACTCCTATTAAGAAGTGGTATAAAAATAAGAGCTGTTAAAATGTTTTTTTATTATTATTATTATTTTTTAATCAAAATCTCCTCCCCCCCCCCAAAGCAAAACAGTAATGTCACTAAAACAGAAGGGATTATAGGGTGTGGAAGAATTATGAACAGAAACAATAATAATGAATAGGAAGAGAAAATAGTAATCAGGTGAACAGTAGATAGTGACTGACATTGCATTTAAATTTTTGCAGATTAAAGTTGGCTGGAAAGCATGGAGATGAAAGAGAGTTCCACAAGCAAGAAATATGAGAAAAGAAACTGTTACCATAGAATTTATGTTTACATCTATCCAGCTCAACTGTAAATTGATGAGATCTTGATGCCATTCTAGTGCTGCGCTTATGTTCAATAAGTTTAGGTACCATAGCGAAGAGTTCATTTGAAAAATTACCATGAAAGTATTTATAGAAAAGACATATAGAGGCAACCTTAAGCTTTTGAAATAATAGCTTCCTCAATTGTATGCCAAAAGAAAGCCATGATACAGAATGGGAAAAACTTTATGGATTCATTGTAGAAAGGCAATTGTTATAAAGATTGTATAGTGCTCATAGTTGCTGGTTAGTAAGACCATAAGGAAATCACTAGAAAGAAAAGGTTGAGTGAAGAAGGATTTAATTACATGAGAACATGCATTGAGAATACAATAGTTCAGAGTGACAAATGTACCACTGAAAGTGCTGCTCCTTTGCAAGCCACTGTTTGCTGCTGTTCCATGAGCAGATGTTTTACTCATAGCAGAAGGACAAGTCCATGTTTCAGTAATAAGTGTAGAGAAGGTTAGTCAGTCTTTCTACAAAACAACAATAAAATGCAAAGAGGAGATGTTGACAACCTTTACAACAAAAAGGATAAGAAAAAAAAAACTTTCTTTTATTCACTTTAGTTTTAATAACAAATTGTTTTTCTTTCTCAGTTGATTGTTGATTTGACTTTTGATGCTGCTTTTGATTTTGACATAATTGGACAATATTCAATGACTGAGTATTTCAAAGATGCAGTTAGAACAAATCAAGATAGAAGCAGAATCAGTTACAAATTACCTGTTGAAATTTATTGTTATAAATCAACACAAAACCAATAAGATATTCTAATCAAATAGCAATATTCAATCAATCTTCTTTGTTCTTATCTTTAGGTCTGTGGTATTTTCACCTGATCTGCATATCCGTCTTGATTACAATGGAAAAAGAGTTGACATGGAACAAGTAAGTGACTCAATAAATTCATTCTAATTTTCCTTTGTTGGATTATACTCTTTTTCCTCTAAGATACAGTCTTTTATCAAATTCACTTGTTGGTAAAGTAAGTTAACAACTTATGTTTTAAGTACTTAACTGATAAATAATTTTTGTTATTTTGTGCATATACATTTAGTAAAGAAAGAATGAACATGACTTTGAAAGGTTCAGCTTCTCACTAAACATTGTGCTTATTCTGTTGGTCAGTTGTCTAGATTTTCTCACATGTTTCTATTCTTAAATATGATCAGCGTTTATTGTGAGTATTTCCCTTCTTAATATTTAATGCTGTACATGCACACTTCCTCTTCCCATGATTGTTTCACTTTCAATGATTCCATATAATTTAGTTTCAAGAAATCAAAGTGAATTACTTGCATCATTAAAGAATATGTCTTTACTTCCTCATAATTCCCCAGAACAAGAAACCATTTTTATTTTTATTGAACCTCTGATGGATGTAAATATGTTGGCATCTTGAATACACAACAACGCATTTTCATTAAATATTTATTTTACTAATTTACTTTTTGTCAAAAAAAAATTAGCATCCATATGTAAATAATTTTGCAATTGCATTGGCTAAATTTTCTGCATGAGTAATCTAGAATTTTCATCTATACAATTAACTCTATTGTCACTTTTTAAAAGATTAAAAGCAAATATATTGAAAAAAAACTAACATAACACAAAAGAAATAATTACTTAGATATTCCATTGTTAATGTATCGTGAGGAATGTTTGCTTATTGGTGTCAAGTAATGACACTTGCTACCATAACAATGGTATATCTCTTTAGTTAGTATGGGAGGTGAGGCTGTGTAACTGTATATAGAATCTCATTGTGTTATATTATAAAATAGAATGCTTATTTTTAATTGCTTTTAATAACCTTTAACCTTATGTTGGTTTTATTAATTTTGTTTCTTTCTTGGTGTCTAGACCATTGTTTTTATTTTTGTTATTCCATTTTCTTGCAGGGTACAATTGCTGGGTTACTTGTTGGCTTGGCTCAACTTAACTGTTCAGAGCTCAAGTTACGAAGAATCAACTACAGACATGGGTCAGTTGATTTTAAATCTCATCCAACACTTGTCGTCTTATTTGAAGTTTGCATATACAGAATTAATACTGGTTATGTAATTCACATGGGTAAACGAGAAGTATTTCTATAGGATTATTTATTTGGTAAAAAAAGCCTACAAAAAAAAAGTTCAAACAAATTTTTGAGGTAACATTTAATTTTTATTGGCACACAACGGACAACATGAACTGAGTTTAAAAACAGGCAATAAATTTATTGTTAACACGCAAAAATGAATGAATTACATAAATTAAGTGCATTGTGTCCCAAAAGATGGCCAATAGCATGTATGTAAATTATCAAAGTAAATGAAATCTGCCTTTTTACAATAAAAGTTATAATGCTGCACATAAGGTCCTCAGAAAAGAAAACTACATAAAATGAAGAAAAAAGAAAATACTTCTCTGAATAATTTTCAAAGAATTGGTACAATTTTCAAAGCAACATTTATGGTAACAGTGAAGAATAGAACAAACACACCAGCCGAAGACTTTTTTTCCTTGATGAGTGAGCAGCTTTAATGTTCCTTTCAATTTTTGTCCGGTGGTTGTCAAATTTCTTCTGAGTTCTTTCTGGACCAGAGCGACCTGCGTTCTCGCAGCAGCTGTTTGTCAATACTGAAAATTAAATCTAAAGCTCCCTTAGATAACCTACAGGTAGGCTCCAAATACACTTCTTGGAATTTGAAGGGAAACCTTTTTATTGATTTTGGATGAAAAAACAAACACAGCTGTTTTCCCACATATTGAAATGTACCAAAAATATTTAAAAAATTAAAAAATCAAGAAAGAGCCCAACGCAGCGTCTGCTTTCTCTCTGAAAGGCAGACAATGCACAGTCAAACAACTTAAATTTCTTATATTTCAACAAAAAGCATAAACCTATAAAATATATAGGAAAATATTTGCTTAATCAGTAAAAGAAGTATATCTTGTCAGCAAAGTGTTTTTCTTTTCAAATGTAACCATCAGTGAAGTCTTATTTTTTTGCACTTGAGCCAAATGCTGATGTCTTTACATTAAGATTCAGACAATCTGTTCATCCGGCGATAAGCATATCCAGCAAAATACTTAACCTACGGCCATATTATGTTGAAACACTGGTTCTCGTATGATCACTGACGATAAGCAATGTTGAGTCTGGTCAGTACCAAGATGGGTGACCACTTCGATGTGTGGGTGGAGTAATGGATAATAGCTCAGAATTAGAAATTGGAAAGCCAAGTTCCAATTCCAGTCAGATTTGTGATATTCACTTATCCTTGGGAAAGCTATAAATCTGCCTCTTTTTTCCACAGCTTTCAGTTAATTAATGGCACTTGTATCAGTAAAATCATTATCTCCAAAAATGTTCTTACATTCTAAAGATATTTTCTGGTTTTATATTACCTGCAAAGGGTTGATAAGCCATAGAAAATGAATTGATCAATCAAATCAACAAAATACTTATTCACTTACCTACATAAATGCATATCCTAATGAATAAAAATAGTCTTTGTTTTATTTAACAAATATGCATTTTTCAGCATAATCTCTTGGACAGTGCATTTAATTCAGTGTCAAATCTAATCATTTAAACTTAGAACTTTATACAGTAAAAATTTCAGTATCTGTCTATACTTCTGAGATGAGGTATTATGTACACTATTTACATTATTCGGACTATTGTCCTCATCTTTGTCGCCATATTTATTACAACGTTTCGGCTATAGTACGCCTCGGCCTTCTACCCCAAAGGGTTCATTTCGACATTCCAACCACCTGGAGAAGGCCTGAGCATACAACTACTGAAATGTTGTAATAAGTATGGCAAAAAAGATGAGGACAATAGTCTGAATAAGGTAATTAGTGAAAATTTCAGCTAATAACTGTATTAGGCTCAACTACAAAAAGATCAATATATTTGTTTTTCATAGAAGTAGTTTTCTTTTTTTTTCTTCTTTCCTTCTCAACAAATTATTTTACTATAAAATATATGAAATTGGATGTAAAAAGAAAAAAATGCCAAATTTGTGTCAGTATAGATGTGAAAGATGCCTCAGATCATATGCAGACATGTTTGTCAACACCAGTTACATCTGGGTTTTTCCTGTTAGCATCGGGGCAGTTTGGCATATCTATATACAGGCCTCTCTGAAAGGAGTCAAGACTCAGGTCTTTGTAAGATGCCTCATGCCAATAAAAGCTGGGGGAAAACAGTAGTTGGGAAGACACAATGTCTTATGAAGGTTCTGTGGGCATTTTGTTCCTCAAGTTGTGGTTTCTGAGGCAGTGTTATTTCTTGTTACACCCCTCCCCTGTCTCTTTCCCCTCTCTCCCTTTTGCCCTCATAGTTGCTGGGAGAGCAATTGGTTAGGTGTAAGAATCTCAACAGACTCTTTGCTTACAATACAACAAAAAATTTGACTGCTGGAGACTCACATTTAAATATGTCATCTTTTCTTGTGCAAGTATCCCAAGACTATATCATGTGAGTATCCTGAGTTACGGGCACATGACTGAGTGATTAGAAAATTCACCTTCCAACCATGAGACCAGGATTTGAACAGGAAGGTGACCTCTGTGTTATCAGCCTGGGGAGGCTATCCCAGCAGGCGACATTTTTGGAAAGTACCTGAAAACCATACTACGGGTTGACCCAAAGCCTTGTGAATGAAATTTGGTAGACTGAATTGTTCAGCGATGACTATACTGGCACAAAGTCCAAGTCATTGTGACTGGGATTTTGAGCATATTGGCTGTGTTCAAGCTGTTGACCATGCCAGATGATGCACTTTCACCCAGAAGTTCACAACATAGTTGTGGTATAATCTACAGGTGGGTTGTGTGGGTGTTGAACAAATAAAAATGTGCTTGAGCAGGCATCTGCAACAGGGATTGGTTATCCACCCTAGTAGACAGGCATACTTGGATACAAGTGGCCAGCCATTATTCTGAAACTATATCTATATCATGCAAGTATCCTGAAACTATGTCTGCATGGTGTTAATCTCCTGACACTGTATGATGTGAATATTCCAAAACTATATCATGTGAGGATCCAAAAATTATGTCTGTATGGTACTAGAATCCTAAAACTTTATTTATATTGAAATCTACAAAATTTGCTCGTCATTTTTTGTTTAAACTCGTTCATTTAATATAAAATTAAGCAAATTAAAACTGCTAAAGAGATTCATATATTTCTGAGAGACTGGCATATATTTTATTTTAAATGATTATTTCAAAGTACAATGTTTATTTTATTTTTGTTGCTTAATATATTTGAATAAATTTGAATATATTTTAATTTATAAATTTGAATATATTTTAGGTTGCTTGGAATACAACGGGTTTTGGTTTCTATATTGACTGATTGGCTGGATGACATCAAAAAGAACCAAATCCCCCGCATCTTAGGGGGAGTGGGGCCCATCCACTCGGTTGTACAATTGAGTAAGATAGTTTTTGCTCTTTTATATTAATTGTCAGAATTGATGATTTTTATGTTTGAATTAGTGTTTCAATCAACAAGATTACTTATCATCCTCATATATATATATATATATATATATATATATATATATATATATATATATAATATATATAGAAAATAGGAAGGAACTGGTTAGGTAAATAATCCAAATATATATATATATATATATATATATATATATATATAGAGAGAGAGAGAGAGACATGTTTCGTTGAATAATTTAGACATGTTCTGTCTACTTATTTTCAATTGTATCCTTTCATATTCACGGATAAGCTTTTTGGTGTCATTATTGAAGGATGAGTGAAAATCGTGTTGATGCATATTTCTTTTATTCTGTGTACTTTAGACATAGCACAATGTTATCATCAGGGTATTGGTTATTACAAGACAAATAAATATATATATATATATATAAGGAGAGAAAGAGAGAGCAATTTTGAGGAAGTTGATTTCCTTGTCTATTTTTGCTATGGATTTCCATTCCCCACCTTGGATATTTCATGAATGCAGTTATTTGTTAAAGTTAGTGTAGCTTAAGAAATACCTATTTTTTTATCTGTATGTATGGATGTGCTTGTTCATACATAAATAACGTATGTACATCTGCATGCATTTTCACTACATGTTTATAAATAATAGATGCTCAATATATTTGATTTTTACCTGTGCTTCTGTAGAGAATCACAAAGTTTAATTTATTAATTATCTAAATGACAGTTGAACAATAATATAATTACAAAGCTTAACTTTCACAAGATGCCAAAAAGGATTTGAAATCATTGGTAATAATTTGTAAGACTTGCTTCCTAATCACTGCAATACAAGATTCATTATTTATGTAATGTACGAGTGATTGTGTGTATGTTTTTTTTTACTCTAAGCAAGGTGACAATTTTGAGAGGGGGGCGGTTACAGGGGGTAAAAGAGAATGAGAATGGAGAGGATTGAAGAAAGAACAAAAAAGGAAACAGGGTTCAAGAAGATAGTGATTGATATTGGATTTTAATTTTTCAAGAAATTTAGGGAAGCAAGAAATCAGGAGTTCCACAGAAAGTGCAAGAAAAAAAAACTGTTAGAGTAGAAGTGGTAGTTGCATCTAGCTAGTTCAACGGTAAGACTTAGTTGCCAATCTAGTAGCATGCTTAAATTCATGTAGTCAGGACACCAGGAGGAAAATCTCATCAGAGCAGTTGCCATTAAAATATTTGTAGAACAGAGGGAAGCCATGTTGGTCAATAATTGTTGCACAGGAGGATGTTGAAAAGTTTTTGGCTTGACTCAATTCAAATGAACAAATATCAGAATTTTTTTAATCCCATCTTGGTCTGTCTGAAACTTTTCAGCACTCCCAGATATATATCTCTTCATATTTTTGTTATCATTTGTGTTTGTTTATCAAATTTCTCAACCATTACTCAAAGATCCTTTCTGTCCATGGAACTGTATCAAGGAAGAAAGACCAAATGGGATCACAGAACTTTCCTTTTGTAAATTCAAAGAATTATTATCTGTTTTTTTTTTCTTTTGTAAAATTCTACTGTTACTAATTGGAATGTTTCTCTGTTAAGGAATTTGTTTCTTTATATGTTGTTCCTAGTCCAAGGCATCAAAGACCTATTCTGGCTGCCCATAGAACAGTACAGACGAGACGGAAGGATAGTAAGGGGTCTTCAGAGAGGAGCCAGTTCTTTTACCACATCCACTGCTATGGCTGTCCTGGAACTGACCAACAGACTTGTAAAATCTATACAAGTAAGTATATTGTCTATTGGACAATGTGTCTATTCACCAGTTTCTCTTATCCTTTTTATCTACATACAACCTACATCTATCTCTTCATTTATATATTTTGATTTCTATGTAAGTCTAACAAGTCAGCAGGCAGGTTAGGTTTAAGGCTCCAAATTGACTATAAAGAATTGTCCCAATGGAATAATAAACCTGGTGGGCCAGGCAGTGTATTTGGATTCAGAGGAAACGAGCGAGCAATACTAAAAATAAGAACTAGATGAGATATCCCTAGGTACGGGCAGTGGAATAAGAATAGTCTACCCCTGGAGATTAAATAAAGAGTTCATTTTGGAATTCCTTGGAGATTACCCAGATCAGCATACACCTGATGAAGGTTGAAGGACACAATGACCAAAATGTTATAAGAACAACAAAGATAAGGACAATAGTCTGCATGTAAATAGTGTAAAAAATGGAAACTACTCATCCTAGAAATTAAGAAAGAAAACAATGTAGCTTACTCATGACTTGAGTTTCAACTCTGGATCACTGGGCTAAGCAAACTGAAACAAAAATGTTGTTTATATATATATATATATATATATATATATATATATATATATATGTTTTGGTAAACCCTCTGACAGTATAATGAACTCTTCCTTCTCTCATAAATACAAACTGCGAGAGTCGGACAGGAGCACAGAGTGTGGAGTGGAGTAGTAGATGTAGTACTAATCTACTTATTACTAACACTATTGTTTTGTATATATCTTCAATATACTTTTTTCAACCGACCTTCGTCTTCTGTGTCTTTCTTTCTGGCCTCTAAACAGGCCACAACAACTTGGCAACAAGGATTTGCACTTCACGGGGACTCAAAAAAAAAAAAAAATTGCCGTTGCCAGTGTCCACAACAACTTGACAACAAGGATTTGCACTTCACGGGGACTCAAAAAAAAAAAAAAAAATTGCAGTTGCCAGTGTCCACAACAACTTGGTGACAAAGATTTATGAGGATTTTGCGTGGACTACCGTAATTAAAAGGAACTCTCTCAAAATACGGAAAATCAAGTTTTTTCGTAAAAGACACTCTTATCATGGAGGATTTCAAAAGTATTTTATTAGAACTTGTAAAATACCAGAATGCACAGCAATTACAACTACAAGAAAGAAACGAAGAGAAGTGGCAAAAGCAATTGCTCTCTCTACAGGAAAAAATGGAAAATGTATTACTGCCAACCCAGAAGGAAAATCGAGAGAGACAGCTCGAATTTCAAAAGCAAGTGTTAAAATTGACAAACCGTAGTAATCCCATTGAAAACGAATTTTCTTTTTTGCAAAACACCATTTGAAGTGCAATAGAGAATTTTTCATACAATCCTGAGGAAGACATAACCTTTGTGTCATATTTTAGGAGGTATGAGGACTTGTATATGTCAGATTGTGCGAATTGGAGTGACTTGAAAAAAGTACGTCTTCTTCTGAGGAAACTTGGTACATCTGAGCACACAAAATTCGTTAACTACATTCTGCCCCATAAGACTAGCAAAATGACATTCACCGAAGCAGTAGAATTACTAATGGAGCTCTTCAGCCCAAAGACATCTCTTTTCCATAAGAGATGGAAATGTCTTAATCTAACTGGGAGAGAATGGGAAGACTACACCACTTTTGCGGAAATTGTAAACAAGCACTGCGATTTAGATTTTAGTCATAACTCTGAAGAAAAAAAGAATAGAAAAAAGATCTACATGAATACCAAAAAAATGGAAAAAGGAAAGAAGGAAGACAATATGAGTTGTTGATAACAATTCAAACAATGAAATATATATATATATATATATATATATATATATATATATATATATATGTATAATTACTACAAGTAAAAGTTTTGTCACTTAGATTGATGTTACCTTCATTATCCTGACACCAGAGTTTCATAGATGGACCCTCTGAGAATCATTCCGTCCATTCCTCAGGAAGTATCAACAATTGACTTTTTATATTTCTCAATTTTTCTTTTTTATATGCACTTTTCATTTGTGCAAGTTTGTTTTTTTTCCATAGTGTATGTATGTGTTCATGCCCATGTGCTCATATGTGCATACGTGTAGGATGTTGTGGTTATTTGTGCTTTTTGTTGTTTTTTTTTTTTCTTTACACTACAGTTTTAATCCATTTTTTCAAATTGCTCTATAATTTTATTGACCATTTTTTTGAGCCTGCTTGTGAAATGTTTTTCAGAATGATGTCTCTGATCCATGACAATTCTTTGATTTCATAATATTCATTTAAAATTGTTTTTATTTATATATGTAGATGTGCATGTGTGTATTGGTCAATTAAAAAGCTGTGGTTTATTGGAAAGCTTGTTTATTGCTTTGTTCCACTGTAAACATACAATGTGACCCTCAATCAAGTTTCCCACTGACCAGCCAATGATTACCCCCACATTGCATTTTGATTCTCAATCTCATTGGTGTAGACCAAAGATGGGAAAGGGCCTGCTGCATGCTCACAAGGTAACAAGATGACAGACAAATGCCACATTGAATGGCAATAACATTAACCCTGCTTCCCATATATATGTAGGTCTTTTATTTGGGGATTTGCCTGCTTATTTGGGTCTTTAGGTAGGTAGATGATATTTGGGACAATTTCTAATTCAGCTCTTTCCCCCTACCAACACCTTGACAATCTACTCTTCTTAATGTGATGGCTGGCAATACAAATGAATATAACCATGTCACAGACAAGTTCATCTCCTGCCAAGAGCAAACCAGAACTGATTCCAATCCCAAGTATGACTATTAATATAGATCAGCGCCTATTTCTGGTTTTGTCGTCACTTGATCTCCCAAAACCCCTCATCCGCTTTTTTACTTTCCTGTTCTCCTTCAGTCAAAGTGAATGCTGCTTAAAAAATAATGACCTGCTGGTTATTAGACAGAAACACTTGAGATTGAGATAAAAACCACATTGTTGGTGTCTATTGTATCATACCACAATGCTTGGTCATCTTTCATATCAACAAGGTTTTGTGTTGCCCAAGTTGTTCAGTTTATTATTTTTATGGTCCATTATCCTCGCACCACAGTTATGGTCCAAGGTTAAAACCAAGGAAGAACAACACGAACACAAGAGTAGAATAACAAAGATATATTACAACAGAAATATAGTACAAGAAGTTGAAGTTGTTAGTAATGACTGTCTGTCTGGTTTAAAGTGAACTAATATTGTCTCGACTTGTTACACCATTCATTCATTATACCTCATGAGAGGCGCAGTATTTATAGTGTCAGGAAGAAGAGTCCATTATCGTTATAGGTAAGTTCCCATAACAATAATGTAAAAATATATCTTTTTATTTCATCATTAACTTTATTAAATAATATATTTACCATTTTGTTCCACTGTTTGCTGCCATCTTTTAGCAAAGATCATAATTCCATCCTTCTAGAACTTTTCATTTTTCTCTGCAAAGAAATGCTCTTCATGCTTTTTACAGTCTTCCAGGGATTTTAAATACATTTTTTTTACAATGATGTTCACCTAGTACAAGTCCCAAGAGCGGTGGAGGGTTACAGAGTAAGTGGCACCACTCCAAGTAAAGTAATAATACCACCAAGACACGAAGGACCACTGGAAGTGAAAGAGAAGGAAAACACTTCAGAGGGAACCAGTAACCTAATCCTAAACAGGAAACAAGAAATAAACCTCTACTCTTGTTTAAAAGACTGAAGAGAAGTATGAACCAGGCAAACCTGTTTACCCATATTCGGGGGAAAAATGTAAATAAATGATAAATAAAAGTTCAGATTTATAGGTGGAGATGTTAGAGTTGGAGTAGACTTTAGAAGGAACCAGAAACCCAATCCTAAACAGGAAACAAGGGATAAACTACTACTATTTTTTATTAAGATTATTTTGTAAAGACTGAAATGATGATCCCATTTTCTGTACTTTTAACTATTAGGCTAAGTTCACTCTTTAATATTTAAATCTTTTTGTCATTTGCCAATACTAAAAGTGGCCTTCATTGTATGATGAAAATTACATAAATGTACTTTTATATTTTAGTACCTTGCAATGCTGACCTATGACATGGTATCACCTGGTCCCAGTGTACGCACCCCTGCACGACAACACCGCCGTGTCCACAAGCGGTCAAAACAGCCCACTGACATTAGAGATGGAATGGCTAATGCTTATATTGTCCTAAAACAGGTAACATTTTTGTTACTATTGGCAAATAAAATCTAAGACGTTCAATAACTCACCTACATTCTTTATTCATGATATTTTTTTACAATGATATTCATCCTGTACAAGGCCCAAGAGCCACTCAAAGTGGAGGATTACAGAGTAAGGGGCACAGCTTATGCATATATATGCGGAAGATAACAGTTAACCCTGCACTTGAACAGGTTAAGATTGTAATGATTGAGGAAGCAACCTTTTGGGAGTTGGTTAAACAAGGCACTGGTTCGTGGGAAGATGCTGCTCAGGTGGAACTTACATCTCACCAGGGGAATACAAAGGGAATGTGGGTGGTTTGCTACAATGTGCCTGACATGGTGGGTTTTAGCAGTGAAGGTTAGGGCTGGTGAACTAAGGAGTGTAGTTCATCTGAACACTCCCTATGGAAATAGCAATAGAGCAGCGAGAGACTTGTGACATCTCATCTATGAGAAAGGGGTTATAGATTGGAAAATAATTCATCACCCTCATGGACATGGGGAAAAAATTTTTGTTTTTTTAATACATTTAATCTTTTTATGTAAGTGCCATTGATTTTAACCATAATGAAAAACCACAATCAGTTATGTCTGATTCCCTTTTTATCATATTTATAAAAAATAATTTATTTTTACATTGTTATCACCCTTGACTATGTATTGAGAACTTCACTTGAAAAAAATCATCATCTAAGTTTTTTTTTATCACCAAGACTCTCAAGTCAATAACCTGCTAAAAAGTTGACCAATATTAACTATACAGATGGTCTAGTTATCACTGCAGACACCATTACCAGTGCCACAGCTCCCCTACATCATCTAGAAAATGCTGCTAACAATATTAAACTTTATGTCAATGCTTCTAAAATTTCAACCAGCCAAGGATGATCTTTGCCAAGACACTCAGGCTTCATTATTTTCTCTTTGAATTACATGTGATATCCATTTTAGTTGTTACTGCTGTTGAAAGTCCTCAAGTGATGTGGTTTCATTTTACAGTTCTTTGTTTGTGATTCTGTTGAAAAGAAGGATCCTTTGCAAGTGATTATTTTCTCTTTGACTTACATGTGATATCCATTTTAGTTGTTGCTGCTGTTGAAAGTCCTCAAGTGATGTGGTTTCTGTTATTTGGTACAGTTCTTTGTTTGTGATTCTGTAGCACCAGTCCACAAGGTTCAAAGAAGGATGATCTTTGACAAGATACTCAGTCTTTACTTGCTTTTTTCAACATTGATCTTAGAAAGCATTTGCATACAGCTGACAGTTTAGATATTTCTGAACAGTTTTGGCACCATGAATGACATCTATATGAAAGTCTTTATTTAACAAGACTATTCAAGAATATGATTCGAGTTTTAAGGTTGATGTTTTGGTTTTGTAGAAATTTGTGGTGTTGGGTGAAACTATTTTTGGTACAACCTATTTGATGTTTGAATTCTTTTTCTCCTATAATTACTTTGTTATAAATGATCCATATGCCAAGGTATCTGAAATGTTTAATATTCACTAATTCCACATTGTGAATTTTTATGGGACACAATAAATCAACCTGATTGTCATTAATTTATGCTGACCTGCTTAAAATTTATCTTTTCTTTAAAGCTAAAAAACAAAAGTAATTAGAAAGATTCATTATTAGTGGCCACAATATTAACATTAAATATGCAGATGACACAATGTTCATAGCAGACATAGAAAGCAAACTACAGGATTTCCTACAGAAGGTAATAAAGAAAGGCAAGAAGAAAGGACTAAGCTTCAATTGTGAGAACAGAACATATAGTTGTCAGCAAAAGAAACAGACCAAGATGTGAATTACAAATTGGAGATACCAAAATTAAACAACAAGTGCAAAAATTTAAATACTTAGGGAGTGTTTTAATAGATGATGGAAAATACCACACTGAAATCCAAAGGTGTGCTGGGATAGCAAAAGATGCCTTCCAAATCCTAAGCAAAGTATTAAGAAACTGGAAAATTTCATTAGAAACAAAGAAAAGAGTAATGAATTATGTAATATCAATCCTCTTATATGACAGTGAATGCTGGACAACCTCCCTACAGATGAAGAAGAGACTTGTAGCAACAGAAATGTCTTCCTAGTGAAGGATACTGAGAATACAATGTGCTGAACAGGTGACCAACAATGAAGCTTTGGAGAAAATGGAAACAAAAAAAAGGACATTTATAAATAACATCAGAAAGAGGCAGCTGAAATTTCTCAGGCACATAATGAGGAAAGAGAGCTTGGAAAATTTAACACTCTCAGGACATATTGAAGGCAAGAGGTCAGAGAAAAGCAGTACATAACATACCTAATGAGATTGTGTAAATAATTGGCAGAACAGGAATTAGGAGATAGAGCAAAAAGACAAATCTTACTAAAATCTACAAAGGATAGGAAGTTGTGGAGATGCATAATTGCCTATGTCCTGAATGGACATGGCACATAATAAAGAAAATGATGCAATAAGTATATTGGAAATAATGTAGATTTAAATTATTTATATTTAAAACTCAGTTTGTTTTTATTTTGAGTTTTCCTCTTCAAATAATTGGAGAACATAAGTAGCTAAGCATATAATATATAAGTATAGAAAATTAAGAAATCAACCAATTCCGTTGCCTTGGTTTTGAACCTTTCGGTATCTTCAGACAATTTCAGTCCTAACACTTTATTTTTTAAAAATAAAAATCTATGAACACTATATTTTTAAAAAAATAAATAAATGAATAAGCGTACAACGTGAGATGTGGTAGAAGGTGAGGAGGAGGAGGAGGGGAAATCAAGTGTATTGGAAATGTATCAGTGGGTGATTAAATGAAATATGCATACGTCCTTTTTATCCCACTTCAAATTATATATATATATATAATAAAAAGGCTTAAACACTAATATTCCATGGTCATAATTTATTCCATTGAATCGTAAAATACGGTCCAAATCATCAGACCTACAAATTCAAAATGAAAGCAGAAAAAACAACTCCGGAAATCAAAACAGAATTTAGAGAAAGTGTAAGTATGAGGAGGAGGGAGATGAAACCTTAACAGAGAGAATTTTAGGAGATGTGGGGGGGGATTAAAAAGAGGAGGGAAAGAAAGTCGACAGATGTCTAATGCATAAAGATACATTTCGTGGTGACATATACACACCATAGACAATTAGGATAGGAGGTGGGGGGGGAAAAAAAAAAGAAAGAGAAGAGGTGGGGGAGAGAGATGGGACGAAGGAAAATAAAATTGTGTTTACTTAAAGGGCCGCTTTGTAATTGAGAAAATTTGACAAATTAATATCGACTACAGGTTAGAAATCAAATATAAATATATGAGGATGAATATAACGATTGTCTAATTTAGCAAGGACCAAATATTTCTATGTTCAAAAACACATACTAATACACACAAAAACATATATAAGTCGGTACATAAACTTAGGCATGTACTCACACACACACACACACACACACAGACATACGTGTACACACACATACATATACACACACACATATATATATATATATATATATATATAAAACCTAAAAATATATTCACATATCCACACATACACATATTCATCTATAATCATATATATATATATATATATATATATAGATATATATATATATATATATATATATATATATATATATATATATATATATATATATATAAATCTTGAAATAGTCCAGTAAATATATTGTGAATAAGAGTGTTATATAAATTTCCCATTAATTTATTTGGCAAATGAAATTTTAGAAATTGCTTTCTTGTTTCTTGTGGGAAAATATTTACCATCTGAAATGAAAAGTATCAAAGAAAAAAAAGATGCAAATATTTCACTGTGCTTGATAAATATTCCTACTATAATTATGCTTGTTTTTTCCTTCCTTTGTTTGCGCAATACCTCAAATAATGGACCATTCCATTTTGATCTCATGAAAAAAAGTGGGGGGAACACTACTTGGTTTCAGTGAATAAATAAAAGAAAGAAGGGAGATAGAAGTGTTTAGCAGCTGTTTCAATGAAATGGAAAATGTTGTCAATTTCAAATCTTTTCATTTGTACCCACTTCTTCAAATAATGACCAGCATTCATATTGATGATATTGCAATAATTTGTTACAGTTGTTAAGCTTAAATATCCATAGAAATCACATTGTTAAACATTTCATTATTTGGTCATTATTTTAAGTGGGGAGAAATAAAAAGATTTGAAATTGACAACATTTTCCATTTCATTGAAACAGCCATTAAACACTATCTTCCCTTATTTCTTTTATTTATTCACTGAAACCAAGTAGTGTGTCCCCCCCCCACACACACACCTTTTTCCATGAGATCAAAATGGAATAGTCCATTATTATTGTCGTAGAACTTGCCATGAGCTTACTCAATTCTTAATTTAAGAATTAAGATTCATCAGAATATTAAAATAGGTAAACCATGAAATTTTCAAGGGTTGATACTAGTTTTTATAATCTTGTAAATAAACATTGCCAAGGGATTGAAAATATTTAAAATAATAGCAGTGTCAAAGAAAAAAACATCCTTTTGAAACACCATTTTTTTTTTTTTTGGCAGGTACAAAGGTCTGTATTTAACAAAAAAAATGATAGCATAACTTTTCAGACAAGTTTTTAATGTGAAGACTTTTTCTTATCCTTGGGTTGAGGTTTTTTGCTGCTTTTTATGTTAATTCATACTTAAAACATTTATTTATCTGTAAAAGCCCCACAAGTTTTTTTTAGTTTCTGTTACTGACAACTAAATTTCATAATTTACTAAAAACATGTCTATTTTCTGCAGGGTATTTCGGAAACAGCAGAAACGATTGTGCGAGCTGCCACTGAGGAACACGAACAGAAAGGTGTAACAGGTGCTGTGGGTGGGGTTATTCGTCAGATACCCCCAACCATTGTGCAACCAATCATTCTAGCTTCAGAGGCCACATCCAATGTTCTTGGAGGTATGCGCAACCAGCTTGTCCCCGATGCTCGTCGTGAGGACGTTGAAAAATGGAAAGTACCCACCAGTTGATTATAAATGTCTGCATCTTAGTGTGGCTAACGACAGGACACAGTTATTTCTGATCCCAACCCTCCTCTTGACTTCTGAGGAAAGGAAGATGATGGAAAAACAATGATTCAATGATTATGGAATATTATCCACCCTTATTTTGATATATTTTTTGGTGGCAGATTTTTTGCAAGAATTCCACATCCATTGATTAAATATACAGAAAGGAACTTTTCTCAAAATTTTCTGCACAAATCAAAAAAGAAAAATAGAAACAAATGCTGAAAAAAAATCACAAAAAGAAAAAGATGATTTTGTTTTTTTTTTGTTTTTTTTTTTTTTAAATACTTTTTCTATTTCGGATTTGTCTTTTCTTTGTTTCTTTCTTTTTTTAATTTATTGGATGATAGGATTTTTTTTTTTAATATTCAAAATGGCTGACCAATTCTACTGTGATTAGAACATAATTTTTGTTGATGCATGCAACTAGTTTTGTATTGTATTGCTATCAGCTATTTCATTCAAATCAGTTCTGTTTTGTTTTTCTTTTTATGTAAAGTAACAAGGATATCCAGTGTTTAGATATTCATTTTTTTCTTCTATTTTTTCAATATTTGAAATTCATTAAAAAACCTCTTATCATCATTGGGTGGTGGTATAAAATTCATCTTAAAACATTCACAGGTTTAACTTGATCATTATTTTTATTCAGTCCTCATTTTCTCTCTCATATTTGCAATCCCCACCAGATGAAGAACTCTTTTATGAACATTTAATCATTTTTGTTTATTTTTTTAATTGATGCATTCTTTTCTTCTAGAATTTGAAAAAAAAAACGTTTTCATTAGTAAATCTTTAGTTTTTATCTGGTGAGGGAATGGCTTGGATCTAAAAACATTCAAACATTTCCATCAGGAAAAATTTGTTTTAGTTACATGTCATGTATTGTATTAACCTTTTGAACCCAAGTTGCCGGTATACTGACCACTGTGTGAAAGTACATATATCCAAGTGGCCAGTATAAAGGCCAGAGTCATGGATGGCAGAGATGAACAGTAGGAGTCAGGATGAGGGAGATCCATACTCATCAGGGGCTCAGGATTCAAAGGGTTAAAAATTCAATACATGTTGCTCATCATTTGTATGCATGGTGCTCAGTTGATGAACAGAAGCAGTGTTTAAGGATTGAATTTGAAAGATTTTTTTTTTTTAGACATTTATAGTTTGAATACAAACATTCTAATTGACATGATGTGAGTTTTAAATAATTTTGAATATCTGATTTGATTTAATTCTAAATATAAGTTTCAATTATGATGATGCTATTTTAAACAATTTGAAATTTTTTCTAAGGTACACATACAAATAAAGACTTTTCTGGACTTAAATATTCAAATATAGGAAATATGGTCAATGCACTTTATTCAGTGATTAATATTAATCCCATAGACCTAATTTTATATAGTGAAATATTCAATGATGGGGATATATATATATGGATGTAATTCTTATTGGTCAGTATGGAATAATGGTATCAGCTTGAATCTTTTCACATTTCAGCATAAAGCTTTCATTGTTTTGTTTTTGCTTTTGATCCTTGAGTGATTTGAATCCTTTTTTTTTTCCTGTTTCTTTATTTCTTTGTTTTTTTTTTCTAAGATTATGTCAGCATAATTGTGTCATATAAATGACAACATTTTTCTTTCTTTGTATTTTCATAAATAACTCAGTTTATCATGAAACATAAATGTGCAGCTTATATAAATTCTATTTATTTTTTCTTTAATGATTTCATCTTTTCTTTAATTCTGTCTCAAGTTCTGAGATCAAGAATTACTATTGTTATTATACACTGATCCATTTGGACTAGTGGTCTAGTGTCTTTGGATTTTAGTGATTTTATTTTCATTGGACTTTGATCAGTATGGTATCCAATCTTCCTATGATAACAATTTATTGATTATTTGCAAAAATACTTGATTTATTTTTTAATGTCCTTTTGGTGAATATAAACCCTTCAGGCCAGAGAAAATGGTTAGAAATGAACTGGATCCTTTAGAGATTGGATCATGCACTGTAAATGGATCTGGTCACCTATTGCCTTGCAATGAGCTCTCATTTAACTTTAGAGTTGGTTTTAATTTCTATTAAAATAATTTTTTAAAAATATTTTTTAAAATTTATATTTCAGAATCACATATCAAAAAAGGGCCAACTAAAAGAGCTGTTAAGGAATTCATTAGAAATTTTTTTTTTTTTTAAATTTTATTTCTTTCATTTTATACTGAATTATTATTTTTTTTTTTTTTTTTTTTTTTACCTATAACTAAATAAACCACCAAACATTGTCTTCAACAAACATGGATGCTTGGAATTCACAGCCATATATTTTTTTCACTTTTAATTAAAAAAATAAAATGGTGCCATATTAATCTTTATCATTCTGTATGTGACTTCATTTGATATACAAAAAGTTTATCCTGCCACTGAAGGTAACTGATCCCTGAACAATAGTGTGTTTGAATTTCATAGTTGTGTTGTCATATCCTGCTATGGCAACAGAAAGCAACTTTGAGTGAGATTAACAATAAGAATATTGCAAATGAGAGTCCTTGAAAAGGGATGTGGAAAGGCAAGTACTATTAATAATGCAGAGTGCTAAAGGTTAATAGATATTTACTGGATAAAGTTAACTTTGACATAAGACTGTATTTTTTGAGCATTCACTGAAAATTGAACTCACTCTTAATGGCTTATAAGATCAGAATGTTAGTCACAATACTAAAATGGGTGCTTTTAGTCACTAGTAATACTTTTCAATTAATAACATCAAAATGTAAGTTTAATGTCTTAAAAAAGTTACCACTTTTTAAATTGAGGTTTGCATTGATGATAAACAGATAACTCTATGAGTAAAAAGTGAGCTCAACCTGTTTTGCTGGGAAAAAGTTGTCATCTGAGGCAGATTAAACAACTTTCTTAGATTTTGCAAGGTCCATTGAATTTTGATGAATTAAGATGAACAAATCTGTTCATATTTTAAAACAAATCATTTCCTAATGTAGCAGTTTGGTTGGCGGTGTTGTCATAAATTAATTCTTAAATTAGAATAATGTTTATTATATTTAAATATTAGCCATTAATTTGGTTTTAAGTTTTTTCATTGGTAAAGTATGAGTTTTGAGCTTTTCATAATTTTGTTGGAGAGAAATAATCAAAATAAAAAGTGAACTTTGACCTGCAATAGTTTTAAAATGTTTCAAAAATATTTTAAAATGAGATCATTAATCTTTTGAACCATGACAGGTATGTTAAGGACGCAATTTTTTTATTTTTTCTGTAAGCATTGTTTGGTAAGTCAAATAATTATTTTTTATAAATTTTATTAGCAAAATCATGTGAATAAGAAAAGATGAAAAATATTTTAAAATAAAATCCCAGGAATTTTGAGACAATTTATATCCTTGAGAAAATTTCTTACACTTCCCCAAAAATGATAGAAATATCCTCATCATAAAATTGAATATAAATTTTGCCTTTTTTTGTTTATAAAATGTTTTTTTGATTTTAAAAAAAAAAAGACAACTCAGAAGCCGTCCATAATTTCAAGTTTTGTTTATTAACATTAGAATATGAAATTATAACACAGTGAATTATAAGATATTTTTGTTTGCAATATTTTATTTTTTTTTGTAAATTTCTCTATTTGCTCCATGACAAACTTCTTTTTCAGTTCTGCACAAACAGAGGCCATAATCTAGTGTGAATGCCTAGAGGCCAATAAAGACTTGAACTTGATCCTGACACGTTTTCCTATCTCGATACAAATTTACTTAACCAACTTACTTCTTTTCTCACTTGAATCCTTAGGCCACTATATTTAAAATGAAACACTTTGTTTTTCTTCTTGTTTAATTTATACCTCCTTAGTGAACCTTCCTCAAAAAATAATGAACCAGAAAACATCTCTAAACAAAAGCCCATAATAACAATTGCACAATATTTCTTATTGTTTGACTGGCAGATGATCTTTTACAATTCTTGGTTGTTTATGCGAATAAAGGTGTTTTGTTAATTATGAAATGATTGATTTTTTAGATCAACCAAATCAGATTTTAACCTAGAACTGATTTTGTGAATTTGAGGCAATACCACTAGACCTCTGTGCCTACAACAGTTAGTCTTAGTCTTGTACTTATCAAATACAACAAGTAAGAATATCTTCTATCAATCTTCATTTTTATTCTTTTTTCTAATGATTTGTGATATTTATTCTGTGGGACTTCATGGATATTGAGAAGTCTAGGGCAGGAAAAGTTTCCTCTTTCCTAAAGGAGTTTCTTCCTAATAAATACCGCTTAACACATTGAATAGAGCACATCACTTGCTATTTCATTGTTCTATTTTTACAGATATTGATTAATTTTTTCTTAATGTTGAACTATTCAGTTCAATAGAAAGTTGGGAATTTTATGGTCATTAGATTTATTTATTTATTGTTTGACATGGTTCTGTAGCTTCTCAGAGTTTATTTGTAAACAGAATCTCCAGTAGTATTTTCATGTAATGATCTCATTGGTCAGTTTTTGTTTTGGGTTCCCCCATAATCCTTCATTTTTAACAGGTCCATTCACAGTGCACTGTGTATTAAACTGGATCAGGTGCAACAACAGAAAATGAAAACTGTTTTATTTTCTATTTTCTTTGAACTTGAATAATTTAAAAGGTTTTTTTTTCATAGTGTCTCAAATTTTAGAATCTTTTCCATATTAGCCTTCATTTCTGCTAACTTCAAATTGAATTTTAAAAAAAGTAATTTTTCTTTCATTTAATTTTTATTCAATATTTTAAGAAAATTCAGTTAACAATTCAATTCAAGTATAAATTGCTTTAAATCTATTTTTTCTCCATATTAAATCCTTTGCCTGCTTGTTTCATGCAACTAACAAGCAACAAAAATTCAATAATCAATAACAAGATATCAATCAATAGATTTGTAATCTTAAAATCTAAGTGATTAT